TGACTGAGCGCTAAACTGTGTTTTTGCCCGGAGCCAATCAGGAGCCTCTGACAAGAGTGTGTTCCCACTTACGAACCTGATTGCCGGGGGAGGGGACTGCCAGCCTCTCCAGGAAGGAAAGTTGCCATGGAGGGGCCAGGCGGCCGGGCAGAGGGCCTGGGGGCCCGGGAAGGCCTGGGTTCAGAGTTTCCCCCGTGGTAACAGTTACCGATGATTTGGCATAGACTACGCACTGGACATGCAGGCCTCCGCTAATCCTCCGGAGAATGCCTGGCGGGAGATGACTATCACCTCCCTCTGCAGATAAGAAACTGGAGGCACAGAGTGTCCCCACTGCAGGCTGACTGTTGCCCGAGGTCTAGGTATTTTATTGACATTTTATCTCCTTCCAATCTCCCTATAACTTTAATCCCATTCCACAGGGGAAGAGGCCAGGCTCGGGGAGAGTAACCAACTTGTCCAAGATCACAGAGCTGATTTATAGACGACTCCAGAGGACACACTAAAATTGTACCAGAGCCAGGCATTCTGGATAGCGTGACTAGATTTAGCAAAATAACAAAACCCAGCCGAAACCGGTTTGGCTCTGGATAGAGCGTCAGCCTGCGGACTGAAAGGTCCCAGGTTCGATTCTGGTCAAAGGCATTAATACCTCGGTTGCGGGCACATCCCCGGTGGGAGGAGATGTGCAGGAGGCAGCTGATCGATGTTTCTCTCTCATCGATGTTTCTAACTCTCTACCCCTCTCAATTCCTCTCTGTAAAAAAAATCAATAAAATATATGTATTTTAAAAATAACAAAACCCCAAAACCGGGATGGCCAGTTAAAATTTGAGTTTCAGCCGAAACCGGTTTGGCTCAATGGCTTGGGGACTGATGGGTCCCGGGTTCGATTCCGGTCAAGGGCATGTACCTTGGTTGCGGGTATATCCCCAGTAGGGGGTGTGCAAGAGGCAGCTGATCGATGACTCTCTCTCATCGATGTTTCTAACTCTCTATCTCTCTCCCTTCCTCTCTGTATAAAATCAATAAAATATATTAAAAATAAATAAATAAAAAATAAAATTTGAGTTTCAGATAAACAATTACTACTTTTTTTTCTTTAGTGTTATAAGTATGTCCTAAATATTGCATGGGATATACTTATACTAAAAATGATTCCTTGTTTATTTGAAATTTAACCGAATGTCCTGCCATTTATCTGGCAACACCAGACCTCTCTCCTTTGGCCTCAAGCTCCCTTCTATTTTGCCAGCTGTTTGCCGTTAGAGGTGGGCCCTTAGAGAGCCAGGCGGTATCTCCTCTGCTCCAGGGGGCAGAACCCTGGACTCGTGCCTGCTCCACCACCTCCTGTGTGGCTGTGGGCCCGTCTATCCCCCTCTCTGAACCCCCTTGAAAAGTAAGACCCAGGATCAGATCATTGCAAACATCCTTGTCAGCCCTAACTTTCCTGTTGTCTTCACCCCTTTTTCCATCTGTGCAAAGGAAGGTGTGAAATACATGGTTGTGGCCTGGCTGGTATGTTCAGTGGTTGAGTGTCGACCTATGAGCCAAGAGGTAATGGGTTTGATTCCCGGTCAGGGCGATCCCCACTTTGGGGCATGCATGAGGAAGCCCATCAATGATCCTCTCTCATTATGGATGTTTCTCTCTCTCTCACTCTCACTTTCTCTCTGAAATCAATACAAATATTTTTAAAACAAACAAACAAAAACAGGCAGTTGTGCTGTGAGGACAGAAGATAGCCAACACCTGGGACAGAAATGGCCAGGGAGCAGAGCTGGGCGTGAAGGCTAGGGGCTCGGGCTGCTGGGAAACGGGCTGCTACTGTCCTTGGCTCCCGAGGCGGCAGCGGGCTGCAGCGTTCAGGCCCGGGTCCCAGGCCCCTCCTGCACTAACAGCTCTGTGGTCTTGGGTAAAACCCTTCACCCAGGAAGGGCCTCGGTCTCCTCCACAGCAAAGTAGGCCTAATGCTGCCCCACGATGCGTGCGGAGTGCCTGGTAGGTGGGGGAGCTTACTAAGCGGTTATTTTTATTTTTGTTATTGGTGGTGTTAATATTACGTCCTTCTGAGAGAGAGAAAAAAAGCACCTTGAGGAATGCTAACCTCTGAAACAACAAACAGATCTCAGGCCCTCTCTGAGCTTCAGCAAAGAACACAACACATTCCAGGCGGCCTTCGCTTCAGCTAGATTTTATTGGCTGGATTTCTGACGGACATCTAAATTATACAGTGAATTTTCCACATGACCAAATACCGCGTCCACGTCTTTATCATTTTCAAAGGGGACTATATAAAAAGAAACTTTCGATGGATCAGACTGAACCCTGAAACCACATGGAGTGCAGAGCTAAAAATAAAAGGGAGTAAGAACTTGCCCCTGAGAAGGAAAGAGAAATCAAAGGGACGAGTCCTGGAGGGGGTGACATGGCGTCACCCTCCAGGGCAGGTCCGGATAAGGAGTGGCCACAGTGAGGGTGAGGCACAGAGGAACACAAAAATAGCCACCGCTCAAGCCCAGAGGGGAATAAAGAAATTTGTCCAAAGCCAGGATGGAGGAGTGGAGGGAGGGAGGGAGGGAGGGGGCAGGACGGTGGCCTTCAGCAGTGTGGGACCCGTGGACTTCTCTCCCGGCACATTTGTACCCACCGGCATACGCGCTGACTTTCAGCTTCGCGCCTGCCCGCCTGACATGTTCCCCCGGCTCAGCCCACATCAATGACACCCTTGTTTCCATAGTAACCAGGGGAGAGTGAAGGGGAAAGGGTGTGCTGCACTGGGCTTGGGGATCCAGCCAGGAGGAGCTGCACTGGGAAGGTCAGTGGGAGGGGAAGGGCGTGTTTCTCACAACTGGTCTGAGCACACATCCTGGGGCCCCACCCGGGCCTTGCTGCCCCTCCCTCCCTCCCCCGCACATTCAGATGCAGAGGCGCATGGAGGGAGGATGGGAGACCCACCGGGCATCCCCTTTCTAGCTTCACATTCTATCTTCTGGTCATGGCCCCGGGGGGTGGGAGTGGGGCCGGGGAGAGGAGAGGGGACTTTAGAAGTATTTTGTTTTTACAAATGGGAGCTCTTAAAAGTCTGCCTTTTTCAGGCATCTCTCATCTGCCCCGTGAGCCCCCAGGGGGGGCCAGCAGGGTTCAAAGGGAAGATGAAAGCTTGTGACATCTACCATGCCACTCTGTCTTTAGCTGCAAAGCAAATGTGAACGTTCACGGAGGCTGTTATCAGAGGAGGGGAGTGGCTTCTGCCTGTTGGCCCGGGCCTGGGAGGACTCTTGCAAAGAGTTCCTGAAGTTGGTGGCAAAAGAACAAAAGTACTTTGCAGACTATCCAGTGCCAAAGCTCTGATCACATCTTTCCAAAATCACAGCCCTCACAGCAGGCTGCTGTCCCTCAGCTCGCATCCCCGGTGCACTATCTGGAGGGAAAACCCATTTTTAAGCCCTGGAGCCACATTTCCAGCTGGATGGCAGGGGGTGTTGGTTTCTTGTGATTCTGTTTTCCTTGTTCAAAGTGGGAGAGGCCCTTGGGTGAGACAAGGAAGCCAGAGGAGGAGGCAGCAGGAAGCAGGCGTCTCGGTGGTTTGGGAAAAAACCTCACCTCCTTCTGTTTTACTAGCCCTCACAGGCCTGTCCCCGGGGTGCACCCCCGGCCCAGCCTTCCGCGCCTGCAGGAGTGACACCCAGCCCAGGAGGCTCTGAGGCTGGACACGCTTCAGCCTCACCTGCGCAGCGTGGTGCAGAAAAGCTGGGCGCGGAGGGCTGGGCTGGAGCGGCCTCAATGGGTTTGGGAAGGGCCACCTCCTGGGCTGAGAAGGCAGCTGGCCCCCTGAGGCCCACCAGCCAGCCACTGGACAGTCCCTTATTCATTCTCGGAAAACCCCTCGGCTCAGGCACCAGAACAGAGTTCAATTCAGGAGCTGGGTGATGCTCTGGCCAGCTTTCATGCTTGAAGCGAGGGATTTCTTAAGACTCGGGAAAACAAGCTCTTTTTGCAGCCGTGGGGCGGGAGCAGCCTCCCTCCAATCAATCAACAGAGGACACATTTTGCTGGAGAGGCAGGGGAGATGGGCAGCTGGGGTGAGTCGGGCCTCCCTGGGAGTGGCCCCTGCAATCACACCCCTTCTTCCCAGCAGCAAGCCCTCTCCGCCTGTGAGCTCCACGCACCCCCACGTTGCCAGCACTGTAAAAATTGATCTTGAAAAAAATCGATCTGCCTGCCTCTCCTCAGTGGAGCAGGTTCATGGTAAAGCTGCATTTATTTAAAAAATCTGATAGCGACGGCCTATTGTGATCATTTAGACACAGAATTCTTTGAGCTTTAGAAATCCCTTCTATAGGACTGCCGCGCCGAAGCCAGCTAATCTCGGAGTCGCTGCTCCCTGCTCCACTGAGCCGGAGAAAGCCTGTTTGCGCTGGCCCGAGCCCTCTGTGTGCGGGCTTTCTAAGGACCTTGTAATTTTTCTGGAATTAAACCTCCCACCTCTTCTCACATTCCACATGTCATTATAGTCAAAAGTCATAAGAATTTGCTTCCCTGTATAGCTGGCCGGGGGGGATGGGGATGGGCTATGTTTATGTGGTGACTTGTTTGCAAGAAAGGATTTTTTTTTTTTCCTCTCCAAAGGGTGAGGATTACACACTCAGCCTCTACCTGCATGACAAGATGGTTTAATCATCTGCTCTTCCTCCCCTTCCCCCAGCGGCCTCCCTCCGGACGGAACGCAGCCCTGGCCCCGTTGGTGATGGTAAAAGTCACTGCCCAGCACCAGCAAACACTGTCCGAGCTTCCAAAACCACGGGGAGAGCAAGGGACAGGTCAGTAAATAAACGAACGCAGCATAAGCTGCTTCTTTCTCTTTTACTTTTTTTTTTTTTTAAAGGAAAAAAAAGGAAAAGCCCACTGGAATTGTCTGAACTGCAATGCAATCTCTTGCTCATTTAAAAGATCTCATTTTCTAATCATGTGCTTTGAGACATTTAATACTATTTCAATTATGCAGAGGAAATAATTCCTTTATTTGAAAAATGATACCGAACCTCAGAGATCAGTTAAATCTACTGCTGGAATAGGGATTCTTTTTAAACTGTGTTGTACCCTCTCTTCAAACAGCTGTAGCTGTACACAGATGGAAAAACATTTGGTCAGAAAGCAGCAAATTAGTGTTTTTTTCAGGACAGAACTCAGTTCCTGAAGCTCCCGCGTCTCCATTCGTCTAGGTTTTATTTCTTCTTTGTGATGACATTTTTGCACACCCAGTTCATGCCGTCCTTTGAGGAAAATGGGCAGAGAAAGGCAGCGTTAGTTATAAGAAAGACACCACACAGGCAAGCCCGGGGGCGGGTGTGGGCCTCCCCTCCCCTCCCACTCCCTCCAGGGAGCCTCTGCCCCAGGGCCCACCTGGGTGACCAGGCACAGTGACCTCCTGGGGAGGCCCTGAGAGCACAGGAGGGAGATGGGAGTGGGAGTGCCCAGTGTCTGAACTTGAGATGGATTCTCAGGAACTCCCTCTGAAAAAATAAACACATCTGCTTGGCTCCAAGGCCTGATTGAGGCGCTATCAGGAGAGAGTCCAGCCCTTTTTGGCTTTTTCTAAAAGCTGACCTTTGCTAGGGCACTCCGTTCAATAAGCCACTCTTCTGGTGCCCGGTGTGTTTACACATGGCCGTGAACATGGGTTAAATTAAATTTCTTTTTGGAAAAACAAACCAGCTGCAGTGTGCGTTACTAGACACACACTAGGGTAATGTGCATTTATTTCTCTCCGTGCAGCGCCCCAGGGTCCGGGCCTGGTTCTTGTAGCTTTAAGCGTTACCCAGCGGAGGGCCTGGGGAGACGGTTCCCTTAAAGGCACAGTGACCTTGAACGTGTCCTCTCTTAGAAGGCTGGAGAGGGACAGAGGTAAAAACCACACAATGCCTACAGCCACCTGGCAGGTGGCAGGATTTCTCCTGGATGCCTGGCCTGCCAGAGATGACCTCCTTTTCAACCCACTTTGGAGACACCCCTGAATACTCTCCTTTCCCCCAGAGTCTCTCCGACCTTGAGGGGTGTGCAGAGTTCCCTTGGAAGCTCACGACAAAATCAAAGCAGGATCCTTTCCCCCCGACCCCCACCCCCCACCCCAAATCCCCGGCACGTCTGCAGTACAAGCTAGCTGAGGTCCCAGTCACATTTGCACATCTCCGGGCACACATGACACGAAGAGCCCTGCACTTCCTGTGACCACGGAGCTGGTGGTTGAACCTGAACAGCTGAGCCAGCTTAAAGCAATAAATATCCGCTGACACCTCTGGGCTTTCGGAGCATTAATCCCATAAACAATACATCACTGCAAAACCACCAGCAGCCACCCTATCTCCCGGCTAATCTGACCATAACCTGCATCTACAGTGATTAAAACTCTGCCAGTTGCCATCAGAAGGCCTGGGCGGGAGAACCAGATACTCTGATGGCTGCTCCAGAGCAGACCTCGGCGCCGGAAGGTGGGCAGCCCCTGGCACGGACGGGACAGAGGGGGTAGAACGCCGAGGTGGGAGAAAGGTGGCCTCCACACACGTCTCCAATCACAACTGGGTCAGCTGCCGGCTTCCAAAGCTGAGGCCAGTTTCAAGACCATCTTATGAAAAGGATTAATTTAAAGAGAAGCATGTTTAATTTTAGTAGCTAATTGGTTTCCAGGAGAAAAAAAATGATCACCTGCCAGGAGACAGAAAAGATTTTACAAACACAAGAGGGATGAATAAGATAACCATCTTCTCTCTGCTCTCCAAGCTGAATAGCTCAGCACTTAGGTAGCACTTTCCATCTTCAGAAACCCGCACGAACACTATCAAAGGCATGCACCTCCATATTCTCTCCTCTGCGGAGACCTGCAGTATTTAATCACATCATCTCAGAGAAATCAAGTGCTCCCACACTCTTTGGATGCCAGTTTGCCCCCTGGTTTTATGGCTGATTACAGGGGGGTAGTTCTTTTTATTAACTAAACACGAATACAGTCAGAGAGATAGGAACAATATTTACTCAGCTGCAGGAACCGAAGCAGAATGTGGGGGTGCGGGGCAGCCTTCTTTTCGGTATCTGTGATGGAGGCGGAGGGAGGGGATTTAAATGCGGGAGCCCCGCAGGGGAGCCATGTGCTCCAGATGTCTGTGAGGCCAGCAGTGGCAAAGCCCTGTCAGCCACAGTCCTGCCAACAGAGGGCGCTCAGAGGTCAGTGCTCACCAGCTCTCCTGCTGGTCCCTGAGCCTCTGCAGCTGCCCCGGCAGTCTGGAGTTTGGGAGGCACAGGGAGATTTAAAAGGGGCCCAAGCCACAGCTGACTTGGCTCAATGAGTAGAGCATCAGCCTGGGGACTGGAGTCCCAGGTTCGATTCCGGTCAAGGGCACATGCCTAGGTTGTGGGCTTAATCCCCAGTGTGTGTGGTGTGTGTGTGTGTGTGTGTGTGTGTGTGTGTGTGTGTGTAGGAGGCAGCCAATCATTGATTCTCATCATTGATCTCGCTCTCTCTCTCTCTCTCTCTCTCTCTCTCTCTCTCTCTCTCAAGTGTTTGAGGAGTTGTACCTTTCCTGTTATTACTTGAGGAGAGAGAGCACTGGAGATGAGGGGCAGTTGGGGAGGCAGCAGTCAATGGGGCTAATACCTCTCCAATTAATTCAGGACAAGCTGTGCCAAATTGGCCACCGAAAAGGAGAGATAATATGTTGTCCAAGCTCCCTGAGGGGAGGGTCCACATCAGACTGGCTTGAGGTTGTGTTTACAGAACCTAGCATGGTGTCTGGTCTACAGTACTTAATTTATACCTTTAAAAAAAAATTAAAAATATATTTTTTAATGATTTTTTACAGAGAAGAAGAGGGAGGGATAGAGAGTTAGAAATATTGATGAGAGAGAATCATCGATCAGCTGCCTCTTGCACAGCCCCTACTGGGAATGTGCCAGCAACCAAGGTACATGCCCTTGACTGGAATCAAACCTGGGACCTTTCAGTCTGAAGGCTGACACTCTATCCACTGAGCCACACCGGTTTTAGCAATTTATACCTTTTTAATGAACACTTTGAACACCCTGTGAAGGAGGGACTATGATGTCCACATTACAGAGGAAGAAATGGGACACAGCTCAGTGTGTGGCAGAGGCGGGCTGGGAACCCAGGCTCTCTGGCTCCAGCGCCCATACTCTAACCCACATGTGTCAAACACAAGGCCCGGGGGCCAAATCCGTCCCGCCAGGCCTTGCAATGTGGCCGGCACCGCGCTGTCATCACTGCACTCTGCTGCGTTTCCATCACAATGACAGTTTATGACTGTTCAGTAAACCATTCGGCCCTCGATTTAGGCTGGATTTTAGATTTTGGCCCCTTCTCTGATTGAGTTCGACACCCCTACTCTAACCACTGACCACTTCTCAATGAGTGCGGGCAAGTGCTGGCGGGAGGAGCTCTGCCTGGAGCTTATGGAGAAGCGGGGAATCACCCTAAAGTTGGGAAATAGCAATTCTAGTTATTTCTTCCTTAGGATTTCTGACTAGAGGGGCCTGAGGCTGGGGCAGCCCCAGGCTAAGTGCCAGAGGCTGTTTTTGGCCACTCAGTGCTCAGGATTCCTGGCTGCCAGGTACGCTACCTGCAGGAGCTGCATGTTTACCTGCTGCCCGGCCCAGCAGTCACTCCCCGCCTTCATGGAAACGCTACATTTAGAGACAACATCACAGCAAGCAGCAGAACCTTCTGCTTCTCAAGTTTAAATTAGTGCTCCACATCACTCTTGCCTTAATTTGGCGAGGCTTTGTTGTTGTTTTTTCAAAACAGACTGAGAAAAAGTGATCAGTTACTTGAAGTAGGTTACTGCTCTGCTTCCAAAGAAGGAAATAAACTCATAAGTTTGTTTAACGGTGGAACCTTTATTGTTAAAAACTGGTTTGACCAAATTTCTGTACATTTGATCTTCGTCATGGGGGTGACAATATTGTGGCCTGAGCAGTCCTCCCCTTCCTTCCTCCACCACACTTCTTGTTGAAACTGAATTTAAATTGATTAGCTTTAATTCAATAATAGAGACTAAAGCGAGACATTGAACCTCAAGTACTGAGCTTTGTTTGGCCTCGTGGAGAGGAAATAAATTTTGCTGTGTCATGAGATTATCCCCTAATATGGCCACTGGGAAAAATAGAAGGCTGCCCCTAACCACAGGGGTGGAATACTCATCACGGATCTCAGAGGCCCAGGAAGGGTGGACCAGGGCTGCACGGCTCCCGTTAATTTGATCACCCTACGATGCATCCATCACTGCTCAGTAGTTGGAAGGAAGCAGTGGCAGCCATGGTTGGGTGGGCCTGGCTTTTTATGCCGTGAGGACTACATGCCACATCAGTAATTGCTTTAGGAGGAGGCGGAGCTCAGGCCCTCGCTGAGCAATGCAGCCTATCCCATTGTGTCACCAGGCCCCCAGGGTCAAGGAGCAGCTGGATGCTGCATACATAAAATATTGCTTGCTATTAATATTTTTTTTTCTGGTGACAAAGGGCAGTGCACCAGAGAAGTAGCAAAATTGCCTGTCCTGAGCTTGCTTTCTTAGTCTGGAGAGAGGTTTGAAATTTTAAAAATAAACCTGAGGTCTGACTTGCAGATAATGAACACTTGGAGTAAAAAATAACTGATGCCAGGCCTGGAAAGCAGTGGTAAATGTCATATTTAAAAATACCAAATCCTATTGGTATAATATTAAGGGAAAAGGCCCCTAGGCCAAGGAAAAAGGAAAAAGAAACAAGGAGCTGGGCTAGGAAATGTGTAACGTTCCCTGGGAGGTGCAGCTGGTGTGCAGCTCACATACCAGGCTCCAGCTGCTATGGCCCTTCCTAGTGGGGAGACCACAAGCTGAACCACTGCTCCTGTTTAGAGGAGGAAGGAAGACGGAGCGTGGGAGAGATGTGAAAAGAAAGTGTGAGCATGAGGTGGGGCATGAAGAGGTATACCCGAGAACTTTCTGCTAGATCAAAGCTACTGGTGGAGGCAGGTCTCTGTTATGACGAAGGCTAGAGGCCAGGCTGAAACTGCTGATCTCTGCACCGAAAGAAAATTCTCTTCCAGTACAATTTTACACACACACACACACACACACACACACACACACACACACACGATGTTTTACAGAGAAAAAGTCTTCAAACACCTGACACTGCAACCGACAAGGACAGCGCTGTGGTCTGGGTTCAAATTCAGATGTGCAGGTGGAAGAGGCTGATTTCGCTCTACCTTTCTCTGGCTCTAAGCCAAGCCCTTTGTTCGCTGTTTGTAGAAGAGTCCCAGGGCTCGCTGTCATACACCAGGAGAGGCCCTAGCAACACGGCCCAGCCCCCAGGCGCAGAGGGCGCGGCCTCCATGTCTGGAGGCAGTCTGGCTCAGGGGCTGCAGGGTTTCCCTCCCAGGCGTTGTTCCGTTTCTCCCCTTTCTGCCTCCCTCTACGTGACACAACTGATCTCTTCTGATCGCTCCTCTGGACTCTGGGCCTCCAGCAGGCAGGGCTTCCAAGATGGATGTTCTCCTTCAGCTTCTACTGCCCTTTGCCTTTGCCCTCCTCTGGACAGTTTCTCATGGAAACCCGCTTTAATTACACAAGGGGCTGGCCTCCTGGTCACCATCTGTCAGGCAAAAGAAAGGCCTGTTCTGAACTCCCTGGAAACTCTCAAAAGTCAGTCTCCACATGCACAACAGGGGCGGCGGAACAACATAGGGGATTGCCTGTCCTTGTCAAGACTGCACATATTTGTCATCAGAACATCAGGTAGAACAAGAATCTGAAATCCATCCCAGGAATCACTAACTTCCATAACCTTAAGTCATGTGTTTAGGCCGCTCAGCTAAGAAGTGATCCTCCTGCCCCCTGAGTCCAGAGGTGTAGCTCACCACCTGGTGGATCTGTGGCTGCTCCCCCGGCTCACTCACTTGAGGGTGTTATTTATGAGTAGAAGACGGGTCTCTCAAACATTCTGATTAAAACACACACACACACACACACACACACACACACACACTAAAAATAGACCCCATGTCTCTAAACACTTGAAACTGTAGCAAAAAATCCGGAAGTTTTTTTGTTTGGTTTTTTAACCTTTGTACATTTTTCCTTTTAGGGTCATTAGAGCCATGGTGCCAGATGTTGTTTGAGTGTCTGATCATTTTAGTAGCTCTGCCCATATTGACTGGCTCTCCTGGGGCAGCAGGAGGGGAGGAGGGAGGGAAGATGAAACAGGAATTTAGGGAATTTTAGTAATGACTATGCAGTATCCATGTCTGAAAGTGATCTTATGAACATTTTTCTGGTGAGGTCTTTCATTTTTAGGAATCCTTGAAACCTTAGAAAATAAAAATAATTTAAAGCCTGCACTTGAATTAGGCAATGCAGGAAAACAATTCCTCCTAAGTGACTCTTTTTAAAGTAAAAACCATGACACTGGCTGGGTTGACGAGAGCCTAGGTCACAGGCGTTACTGGGGGAGGGACATGGCCAGTGGGTGTCTCACAATGAAATGCTTCCACAGAAAACGCCACGACCTTTCTGCAGTCCCCAAAGGTTACCATTAAAGGACAATAGAGAGCAGATTCCCTTCTTAATTAACATTTTTATTAAATAACTCATTTCAAATAATGGTTAAATTCTCTAAATTTATATCATTCTATTAACCATAATCTAATCTCATTAACCTTGAAATCCCAGTCTTAACTACCCAATTCTATACACCACGGTACTATCTAATAAACTAATTAAGTGACCTTCAAACTGTTTCTCCTCCATATAAAATCATTATATATATATGTTTTTTTTTCTTTCTTTTTTCTCATAGTTCTTTGTTAGATTTTTCTTGACATAATTTCCTGTGAATCTGGTTGCTGAAGGTCTTTGATCTAAGAAGAACTTGAACAAAAACAAACCATACATGGTTGTCTCACTTGATTTAAACTGACTGATTTTAAAGCCTTCCCTGGCTCTGCCTGATAGCTCACTGCTGCTTTTTTGGTCTAAGATCCTGTGACTGAGGGGAATGCCATTTCTGTGGTGGTTACACAGCCGAGAAAAGAGCTCTCCTCCCTGGAACCTCCCCACACAGGTTGGGGTGTGGGAGGTGGGGGCTGGGAGGACAATGACAGAGCTCCCTCCCAGTCTCCGGGCTCTGAGGAAGTACCATTGACATGAATGCCACTACCCAAAATGCTGATTTTAGATAACTCTAGTCCCTGCTTCAGGCTGGCTCAAGGAACAAGGACCTTTACTGTTAATCTGTTTTTTCGTTTTTTCTACACTCTGACCAAGTGAAAAAAGATCACGGGCTGCCACTTTCTAAGCAGTAGGCACACAGAATGTGTGCCACCTTTAGAGCCCCCGACCTTGAGATGTTTTCTCTATATTTGTGTTTGAGGCCATTTAGACAGGCAGAGTTCTCTTGCTGGAGTGGTTTGTATAAACACAAGAAAGCTTCATCCAAACCCAAATCATTTTAGGCCTCATGAAGGCCATCTTATGCACAATTGAGGGAAATACCTTAGGCTAAACTTGATTTTTTTTTTTTTTTAAGTGAGAAGCTAAAATGATTTGAGTTTACTTATTAAAAAACATTCTGGGGCCCTAGCCAGTTTGGCTTAGTGGATAGAGTGTCGGCCTGCAGACTGAAGGGTCCCGGGTTCAATTCAGGTCAAGGACACATGCCTGGGTTGCAGACTCAATCCCCAGTAGGGGGCGTGCAGGAGGCAGCCAATCAATGATTCTCTCCCATCATTGATGTTTCTCTCTCTCCCTCTCCTTTTCCTCTCTCAAATAAGAATAAAATAAAAAAATAGAAACATCCTGGGTTGTAGTATAGTTGTTGAACCAGCCTAAATTAAGCTGAAAAAAAAAAATGCAGTTAATTTGAAACTAAATAGATCTATAATCACATATGTGATTATAATTTTAAAGAGGAGACTTAAGAAGAATAAAACTATTAATGATAGTTTCTTTATCAAGTGGGATTAGGGGAGAGGAAAAAACTTTACAGTTTTAAATTTTATATGTTTTTATATGGTTAATAAAGAGAATATATTACTTTTATAACCAGAGTCTCGGAAAGAAGGAAATAAGACTTAACACCTCCCCCCCTAAACAAAAACCTCCCAGAGGCCCACAGAGCTCCAGCATCCATTTTGGGGAGGTAGCTGAGCTCATCTCTGGCTATTTTAGAACACCCCCCCCCCCCCACACACACACAGAGGGTGTAGGTACCGAGGGCTGTAGAAGAGAGGGTGCTGGTCTTGTGCTGACTGGTCTGCTCTCAGATCTAAAGGCTGAGCACAGAAACAGGCCCTGGTTGTTTGTGTAACAAAAAGAGAAAAACCAAGCAGCAAGCAGATGGAACAAGTGAGATAATGCTAGGACGTGACTATTTTCTTGAAATAAAAGCAGTCAGGCGGTTTTAAGACAAATCAATGTCACATGTCCTCAGAGAGAGGGAAGGAGAGTATTAGAAAAGAGATGGAGCCGGGACCGGTTTAGCTCAATGGTTAGAGCATCGGCTTGGGGACTGAAGGGACCTGGGTTTGATTCCGGTCAAGGGCATGTATGTACCTTGGTTGCGGGCATATCCCCAGTAGGGGGTGTGCAAGAGGCAACTGATCGATGACTCTCTCTCATCGATGTTTCTAACTCTCTATCTCTCTCCCTTCCTCTCTGTACAAAATCAATAAAATATATTAAAAAAAAGAAGAAAAAAAAAGAAAAAAAGAAAAGAGATGGATAGAGGCTGCAGGATGACTGAGAAGTTGCAGGCTCGTACCCCAACACACCAAGTTCAGAGAAAAGCAAACTGGTCATACCATTAGATACACACGCCATATGGCAATGAGGGAAGACACACTGTGTTAGATGTTGATCCCCACAGCGTCCCAGAGCAGTACAGTCCGACTCTCACCTTGTGGTGTCACTTCCCCGGCAGGTCCACCGATGTTTAAAGGGAGGTGTGTGGGCCTGCCGGGGCTTTGGAATGGAGAAGTCCTAGAGCGCTGACTCCAAGTGTCACCTGGTTTGCGTCTGCTTGGTGGGAAGCATCAGAACTGAACCTGCTCACCATTCTTTGAGGATATACTAGGAGCCTCTCAGTTACTATCAAATGAGGGGAGCCTGCTCCTCTGGTATGTAGTCCTCAGTATCAAACAAGAGCCCTCAGTGAGCAAAAGCCCACCAGTGGGAAACCAAACTGAAGTAGCAGGAAGCAGACACCAACTCTGAAGGCAATGAAGACAGCCAACAGAAACAGAACACTTCGACAGGGTAACTAGTGTGCATCATTGTTGATGGCTCTGTTACCTTGGCCATAATATGAGACACAACACAAAAACCCCAAAGAATCATCAGAGTCCTAGAGTTAGAAAGCATCCTCTAAGTCAGAGGTCGCCAACCTTTCGGACCTCACTGACCACCAGCTGGTGACTGCTGCTCTAAGTCTTCTGTTCTGACCTCCTACCTAGTGAGGTAGTTTGCTGCTTGTGTGGGTTGGGCTTGCCTTTCCTAGCGCAGTTAATGAGGTCACACTGGCTGCTAAGTAGGAAAAAACTAAACTCTTCATGTCCTTCACATCCTGGATTGTTCATCTGCCAATCAAAGGCTATTTGTTTCATATCTTTCCTGTCTAGATCAGCCCAGCCAAGGAGACAGACTACTTTGGTTGGCTGTCGCGTTGCCAGGTGACCAAGCCTCCAGATAATCTCACCTGAACGCCCTCTCCTGTGAGAGCTGAGCAGGACTGGATCTGCCAGACTCGGTCCCGGATGGTGTGCAGGTTCAGTCCTTCTGCAATTTCAGAGGCAGGGGCTGCCGTGAGCAAATCCTGCTTATTAGCAAAGATGAGCACTGGAACACAACTTAGCTTTTCTTCCTCCAGTAATTCAGCTAGCTCCTGGATCATTTTGAGAATGGATGGGGAGGGAAGGATGAAAGCTATGATATTTAACCATTAACTTCTAGCTAGAAAAACAATAGAACAGTTAAGCTGATCAACCAGCAACTTTCAAGGGCAGTGGTTCTCAAACTTGAGCCTGTGAAAGAATCCCCTGGCAGATTGCTGGGCCTACCCCAGAGATGCTGACTTTAAAAAGTCTGAGCGAGCAGAAACCTGTTTGGCTCAGTGGATAGAGTGTCGGTCTGCGGACTGAAAGGTCCCGGGTTCAATTCCGGTCAAGGGCATGTACATTGGTTGCAGGCACATCCCCAGTAGGGGGTGTGCAGGAGGCAGCTGGTCGATGTTTCTCTGTCATCAATGTTTCTAACTCTCAATCCCTCTTCCTTCCTCTCTGTAAAAAATAAATAAATAAAATAATAATAATAATAATAATAATAATAATAAAAAGTCTGAGCAAGGGCCTAGAAATCTACCCTTTATCTTATTTATTTACTTATTTAGGAATCTGCATTTTAACTAGCTCTCCTGTAGTAGTTCTTCTATAGGGATTCATAGATCATACTTTGAGAACACAGTTCAAGGGAGAACACAAGTTGTGACAAAAATTTAAAATTTAGCCAAAATAAAATTTAGCCAAAGTTGTTATCTGCAAATAATTTTCAAGGTGTGTGTGTGTGTGTGTGATTTATTTGAATACTAGAGGCCCAGTGCACAAAATTTGTACATGGGTAGGGTCCCTAGGCCAGGCTGGCGATTAGGGCCGATTGGGCCCTTCTAGTTGTCAGCCAGGGCCTTCCTTCATTCTGTGCTGCCCCCTGGTGGTCAGCACATGTCATAGTGAGCGGTTAAACTCACAAGGGGACAATTTGCATATTAGCATTTTATTCTATAGGATAAATTGAAAATGACAATTGCTTTAAATACTATAATTCTGTTTCATCAATATTTACCTCCAAAACATGTCCATGCATTACGCTTCATCAAACCCACATCCTAAAATAACTGTATTAGTCCACCTGGCAAGGTCTCTGATTTTTAGGCTATCGGTTGGGGTCTACCCTGTAGTTTCTGTCTGCAATAAGTATAGGAGAGGGTGTGTACTTACCTAAATATGAGGACCCACCTCTCCCATTAAATCCACTTTTAACCCTACTTAAGACACTTGTGCTGTCAAAGAGAACTGGAGGGTTCAAGAGGCAGATAGTTATACGACACCCTTCACCTTCAAGCTCACATGAAGTGATGAACCAGAAGTCATCAATGTATAGGAGGGTTATCCTGAAGAGTTCTCAAACTAATTTCCAGGAAAAAGGAACAGAAACATGGGACGGCTACCTTTGAAAGGCCACCACTGGTAGTTTAGGACATAAGCCAAGGACTCTGCAATAAAATGCTTCTCCAAAGAGGTCCACTCTACCCCTTGCTTCTTATCAGTGTACTCAGTAGAATGGTCTGTGCCCACCGCGTCTCTGTTTAAACCATGTATACAAATTGCACTGTGTAACCATGTTGACATGTAGTCTGCCTTTGAAGCCATTTTTTGGGTTCAAGGATACCTATCTTTTGGCTTGGAAACACAAGCAGGTTAGTCTTGGCTTACACATTTCTTCCATCCCTTTGAATTTGTTAGTTGCCCTTGGGTCAATCAAGTTGATATTGAAAAATGTACGTAGAAATAATAAGTGAATTGTTCTTCTGGGTTCATTTCTATGTGGAATGAAGAGAAACTGAAGAGCTTTTGGGCATGGTGGTAAATTCCATTTTCTTATAACTTGTTTATTCAATTTGATTTAAACTAAAAGGCTTTAATACAAAAAAAAATTGTTTAAAGGATTCTGAACTAATTTTTTTTTTTTTTGACAACTGGTATTTTTGCCTACTTGCCAGAGTGACTGCCTTATTTAAACTGCAAAGGTTAAACAACAAAGAAAAAATCTCTCTCACTGTCATACATTTACAAGGCAGATTAATGAATACCCAGTTATTTGGGAAATAGGTCAACAAAAGAATTATTTACCTGGCCCGTCTCTTCAAATCTTTTTCTGTCTGCGCTGTCAATTACATATATCTGTAAAGTAAAAAAAAAAAAAAAAAAAAAAATGTTATCTCAATAGCAGATATGTAAAAGACAGTGCACCTTTATGGAAAGAGAGATGATCCTATCAGCCAATTTTACATTAGCATAGCATATAGAAATTGAGCTGGTAATTATTACCTCACCTATGGATGCAAAACAAACAAACAAATTAACTAATTAATTAATTAAATGGAGGGTGCCCCCAAAATATCTCCAGCAAAGCTCCAAAGTAAAAAGTAGAGCTATGCAGGATGAAAATAGCTACACTTACTGTGCACTCACTAAGCATTCTTGCAAGATTTCTCATATTAATCCTTGTTACAACTCTATGAGATAGATTGCACTACTTTCTCATTTTATACATAAACTAGAGGCCCTCAGCCTGGCTTGCACCCTCTCACAGTCTGGGACTCCTTGGGGGATGTCCAACTGCTGGTTTGGCTTAGGCCCAGTCTCCGGGGATTGGACCTAAGCTGGCAGTTGGACATCCCTCTCATTATCTGGGATGCCTTGCTCCTTACCACCTGCCTACTCGTTCCTTACTGCTTGGGTTGCTGCTTCTTAGCGCTGCTGTGGAGGTGGGAGAGGCTCCTGCCACCACCGCTGCACTCACTAGCTGTGAGCCCGGCTTCTGGCTGAGCAGTGCTCCCTCTGTGGGAGTGCACTGACCTCCAGAGGCAGCTCCTACATTCAGCGTCTGCCTCCTGGTGGTCAGTGTGCATCATAGTGACCGGTCATTTTAGTCGTTCGCTGTAATGCTCACTTAGGCTTTTGTTATATAGATAAACATAAGCCCAAAGAAGTTAAGTAACTTGCTCAAGTTACATCAAGTACTTGACAAAATTGGGATTCCAACTCAAGCATACCTTAAGCACTCTACTAATACTGCATCTCAAGTTGACTGAGAGAGATGGTGTTTTGAGACATCTACAAATCGTAGTCTTTGAACATCATCACGCTGAAAGTATCATTTGAGTATTAACTGTACACTGACTTCATGTACTGAGGCAGGAGACCCAGTGATCTCCACCCCTTCCTACCTTGCTTATAACCTCCAAGGCTGCTAGGAGCTGTAAGCAAATAGCAAGGGCATAGCCTTTTCCAGAGTAAGAGACGCCTTGAGATTCACCATAAGTTAAAAATCTCAAGCTTTCTTTCCCATCACTGAATTTTATTTATTGCATAAATGACACCCTATAACAATAAAGAAAATAAGGGAACACCAAAATAAAGAAAATTATTTATAGTTACAGAACCCAAATATATTATTTTAATTTCTTATGAATGTTCTCTTAATTCTTCTTATGAAAATTTAAAAAGAAAATTAGATATAATATTATAGTCCTTTAAAACAATTGAATGATATATTAAATATTTTCCCAGTTTCTAATCTTTTTTTTTTTTAATGGGTCCAGTTTATTTTATTTTTAAAATATATGTTTATTTTTTTTACAGAGAGGAAGGGAGAGGAATAGAGAGTCAGAAACATCGACAAGGGAGAAATATCTATCAGTCGCCTCCTGCACACCCCTACTGGGTATGAGCTCGCAAACAAGGTATATACCCTTGACCAGAATTGAACTTGGGACCCTTGAGGCTGACGCTCTATCCACCGAGCCAAATCGGTTAGGGACCAGTTGCTAATCTTAAAAATTATCAGATTTTCTAACTTTTAAAAAATAATTTAGAACTGTTATTAAACTAATGGTACAATGAAAACAGAATTTTAAAAGAGCATACAGTAAATCCTTAACGTCATCAATAGGTTTTGCAACTTTAAGCGAAAAGACATATAACGAAACCAACTTTACCACAGGCTAATTGACATAAACAAGAGTTAAGTTCCTACAGCTTCTCATCCATGTTATAATGAAACAATGTTGAACAAAGTGACATTACTTGAGGGCCTGCTGTATTCATTTAGAAACAACAACACAAACAACTCTCACCTTTACATGCCTTAAATTACATAAACTAATATACTACAATATACATAAGCATTTCTGTATGTATGTTAAATTCTGTGCTACTTGAAAATTTGCTCTCTTTTGAAAGAAAAAATTACAATTCCTTGGTTTAATGCACTCTCATTTAGAATCACTAATGCAAAATATGCAGGAACAAAGTTTAGGCTTTCCTCTGAGAATACCCTATGTTTCCACCTATGTTTCTTTCATGGGGAATCATAAAAGGAGGAAGGATGTTGTCTCAGTATTTTTTCCCCCAGCCTTAATATCATTGTTGTAGTTAATATTACTCTTGACTCAGTGTCAATAGGTTCTGCACACCACAGACACCCAGAATTCCAGACTGTTTTCCACCAGTGAGGCTCTCATTATTAGGGAGCAGATATAGTATAAATGTAGATGTAGAACGAAGGAATGTAATGGGAGGGTGAACCTCAACATAAAAGACCTAATTAGGATTATTTGGGAGGCTATAGTGGATTAGGATTATCTTCACCCAGGAAATAGTTCAAGATGTGAGGGAGGGGAGAGGGCCAAGTGAGCACAGGGAGCGAGTTTGGGGTTCAGAGGGCTTAATGAAGGCTGTGTGCAGGCCACTGGGCAAGAAGGGGATTTCAAAGTAAGAAAAAGTGGGTCTGGGAGCAAAGGTGTGAGTAACAAGGGAAGAAAAGAGGAGGTTGAACCAAAGTGGAAAACACAAACATAAAGTTAGGAAATGGATGCTTGATATTATGAAAAACAGTCGGGAGAGGATAAGAAGGAATGGGAAGAGATTTAAGGACAAGAGAGATGATACCAGAGAATACAGAGGCTGAAGATCAATGAGAAGAAAGTTTTAACTATTACTTATAATTACTTGCTATTTATTGCCTCCATTAAAAGATTCAGTATAATCAAAGGACGGTTTTCCTCAACTATACATTTAGCCTAATTCTCTCTATCATTTTGCATAATTTTTATAAAATTTGACAACTACTTCACAATAATTCCAGGAAGAAGTCTAATTTGGTGATACACCAATTTGTATTTCTGCAGTGCTATATGCTTCTCTTGGTTGCTCGCCAACCCAGTGCTGCCCAGTATCTGTTTTCTTCTGGTCAATAAATAAAGGTAAGGAGAGTGCCAAAACTGGTTTGGCTCAGTGGTAGAGAGTCGGTCTGCGGACTGAAAGGTCCCACGTTCGATTCTGGTCAAGGGCATGTACGTTGGTTGGAGCACATCCCCGGTAGGAGGTGTGCAAGAGGCAGCTGGTCGATATTTCTCTCTCATCGACATTTCTAGCTCTCTATCTCTCTCCCTTCCTCCTCTCTGTAAAATATCAATAAAATAAAAATAAAAAAAGTAAGGAGAGCATCTTGCCTTAAGGGGGAAAAATAATATATAGTTTTTTATTATATATATATATATATATATATATATATATATATATATATATATAACATATATTAGTATGTATGTATATATATGTAAAAAAATTTAATCCAAAAATAAATAATAAAAGTACTCAGAAAGTATCGGATAAAGTTAAAACATTTATAATGCTTCTGACCTTAAAATATTATGGAGCCTCAAAAATCAAGTTTCATTAATCTGCTCTAAAATATAGTTATCCATGGCACTCAGAATGATGCTTTAAGCAAAGCCAATTCACATCTTCCTTGGCAACTGCTTTGAAATTATTATTTGGTTATGGAGGAAGACTAGAGAAAGAGGTTTTTTGTTTGTTTTTCTGAAGGAAGTACAGCCTACTCTGGATTATCCAGACTGACTATCCAGCTTGTGGATGGAGGGTTCTTTGTTTCTTCTTTTGCTTCTGGTCCTCCTCCCTCCTGCTGCCACCTTTTGGTCATTTTATTGCTCCCAAGTATTTCTCCACTAAAGGGGTAGGGAGCCAAGTAGAGATGATACTAAGATGTGTGGCTTTTTAATGACCACTTGAGCAGAAGTCTAAAAGGAGGTTGAAAACAACAAATAAGGTTTTGGGTAATGCGGTTTTCAATTATGTGTGCTGCAGCAGTATCGATACCCAGGTGACTCGGGTGTGAGTGGCATTACGGAAATAATACATGAGACAGTTGTTAGAGATCTCACTTAAGTCCTACACACTGGAATGTAAATGATGACACAGTTGCTTTATTTAAATTATGTTGCATTTAAACACAAAACTGATAACAATAAGTAAATAGAGTTTAGTAATAATATGAACATACCTTAAAAAAAAAAAGATGTATTTTTATCTATTACAAGGCTGTTATTTCCTGGCCTAAAAGAAATGGAAGACAGCCTCTCCCTTCTTTCTATCATACTTTAGGTTTTATTTACTAGTATTAGTCACCTCCACAATTAATGAAGGCGAAGTAAAATGTTCTCAGTATCATCTTCCCTGAGAATAACTTCGGCACTCTTAGGAGTTGCCCTAACCCTGTCAAACCCCTAGAGACCCATTTAATGATCTAAACAAATCTTTTTCTGTAAGGGGTTAGGTAGTATGTATTTTTGGTTTTGTGGCCCACACAATCTCTTTCACAACTATTGGATTTTGCTGTTGCAGTGTGAAAGCAAACATAGAAAATACAGGGTGTGCAAAAGTAGGTTTACAGTTGTAATGAAATAAATATAATAATTAAATAATAATAATAAAGTAATAAGCTCTGTTTTGCATGCTCACAATTATAAATCTACTCTTGCCCATCCTGTACGCAAACAAGTGGATGTGGCTGTGTCACAACAGAACTTTCTGGACACAGAAATTAAAATTTCACTTCATTTTCATGTAAGGAAATCTTATTCTTTTGAAATTTTTCAATCATTTAAAAATACTGTATAAAGATATATATATATAATATATATATATATATTATATATAGTAATACTTTAAACAATAAAATAAAACTTAAAAATAAAAAAACTATATAAAACCTATAGGAGGCAGACTAGATCAGTTTTGTAGACACCCACTTTAAAGCAAGAACTTATTATGGCGCTCTAGAGATAATTGAAAAGTGTTAACCAGGCAACTAACTGTGTCTAGCCTCAATTCTATTGTGGAGCCTAGTGTAATAGATCTTTTTAAACAGCAATGGAAAACTATTAAATACAAACAAATATAATCCATCAACCACTGCCACTGCAAGCTGCTACTGTCAGAAAGAACTAAGAGTCACAGGCCTTAGAATTTAACGCTGGGGACCCAGCTGCTCCCCAAGAGTTGTTTAATCCCAAATGGCACTGGGAAATAATGGAATGTTGACACTGAATCCAAAATACTGTCTGGTACTGGCAACGTAATGTAGCTGGTAAAAGCCCCTGCAGGGTTGCTCCCAGCTGATTTTTGCTGGCTAGTTCTATAATTCCCAGGCACTCCAAGCAAATGGGAAGTGTGGAATCCAGAGTCAGATTATCACTCACTACCTTGCAGTCTACCCTCAAAGTGTTAAGAGTTTATAATTTAAAATTCTCATTCCATACCTGGTTTGGCTCAGTGGATAGAACATCGGCCTGTGGACTGAAGGGTCCCAGGTTCGATTCTGGTCAAGGGCACATGCCCAGTTGTGGGCTCGATCCCCAGTGGGGTCTTGCAGGAGGCAGCCAATCAATGATTCTCTCTCATCATTGATGTTTCTATCTCTCCCTCTTCCTTCCTCTCTGAAATCAATAAAAATATATTTTAAAAAATTCCCTGACTTGAGGACTGGAAAGTTTCCAAGACCTCCGTATGGAACCTTAGAGTCATTATGTCCTTATAAACTGCTCTTACTTCAGTATTTCTTTCCAAGTACCTTAAGCCAGGAGACAAACAGTAGTTCTAAAGAATGTGATGGAGAGCTGAAAACTAACATCCCAGCCTCTGCCTGAACAAAGGCCACCTGAGCCAGGGAATTCCCAGTGCCTGAGGCAGCTTCTTTAATTCTGGGCAGTTGCAATTATAGGAAAGTTCTTCCTTATTCTGAGTTAAACTCTACCATCTAATACTCCCTGAACTGCTTCTAGTCCAGTCCTTTAGAAATATTCACAATGAGGCTAATCTCTGATTTAAGATAGTTCTTAAAGTAGCTGAAGACAGTTCCAAGTGTTTCTTTTCAGGCCTTTCAACCATTCCTTACACATCACTGTTCCCAGGACTCTCACTACTATCTTGGTTGCTCAGTTTGGGATACTCTTGATTTGTGGATATCCTTGGGATGATAGAGTTAGCTGCACAATCTTCTGACTTCCCTACTGCTGTTCAAATCACTATGGTAATAAACAAACACTTTATTTGCCAAGGTGGGTGTGGGTTCAACATCGTTACTGAGCGACAGCAAAACATCTTATACAAGTTATACAAAGATGTTTCTCTCTCACAATCTGGAGCCTTCTGCTAGCCCTAAATTTAGTGATTGATGTTATGGCAATGGAATTATTGGCAAGACAGAACCTTATAGAGTTAATGTTCCTAACCCAGCAGAAAAGACTATGAATTAACACATCAGAAAGAGTACTTACAAGAATATCAGTGTTTTCAAAATAATTCCTCCAGTATGGTCTGATTTTCCTCTGTCCACCAATGTCCCATACATTCAGTTTAAACCCTTGTGATTGTACACTTTTGATGTTAAAACCCTGCAACCAAGAAAGGTAAGTTTTATTAAGCTTTGATATCATAATTCTGACAAAGTTACACTGGACAGCTATGTTATTTACTAATTCTGAGGTACTCTGCCAGATGTGACACTGATAATACTGAAAACAGTTTGCTATGATAGGGAACAAAGAAATGTATTTATACATGCTTACTTCATTCAGGTTGAAGTCAGTGTTAAAACGCCATGGCTAACATGATGTGCTTCCTATCATGAGTACACACACACAACCACTGAGGACAACTTGGTATGAGAGAAGCTCTGATAACACAGGCCATGCCTCTGATGAATCCTCAGGATGGTACATTTAACAGGACATTACTTGTAACTAACAAAAAAACCCTGTAACTGAATCTGAAAACTTGACAGAACAGAACAAATGCTACATTTAAAAAGGCAAAAACCCAAAAACAAACAAACAAACAAACAAACAAACAAATAAAAAGGCAAAAGCAAAAATCAGGCAGATTGCATTCTTTAGCAGTTCAAAATTAAAAAATTTTCTCATATGGATTACCCAGGAAAAGGAAGGAGCTGAACTTAGGAAACTCTGGTGGAGGCTGGCTAATAACTGGATTGTGAGCCCAGTGAGAAAGGTAGGGCTGCTGGGACAGCCTGTTCAAATTCTGAAGTAGAGCCCTCAATTATAGGCAGTGATGAAAACAAACCAACAAGCAGGTATTTGAAATTATTCTTTAGTAGGTATCTCTAATGAACCTGAAAAGAAAGCACTCATTTTCAGGATAGGTACTCAAGGTGGAACTTTGGGGAAGGCGAGCAAATCAGAAGCAGGCAGAATGATGAGCTGGGAGGTAGTGTGCAGAGAAACAAATTAACAAGAACTTTGGGGTTTGGAGAGAAGGCATTTCATGAGCAAGAATAAAAAAAAATATCTTCTTGCAAAAATGATTTAGTGAAATCAGGCTCTGAAAAATCCAATCACCAGTGTGCTACCCCAGAAATGACATTTCATCCAGAATAGCTGGAGTTAAGCACATCTGGGGGTGCCTCCAAACATTTGCCTCATCTGGCAGCCTGCCGGCACTACTGCCTCGCCCAGCAGACAGGCGCAGTGCAATGGTACAGGAGCACTGCCACCCAGTTTCTCCTGAGGATAAGTAATCACTAGAGAATAACTGGGGTGATGCTGATTGCAGCTCCTCTAAAATGCCAATGACTGAATAAATAGGAAGTTCAAGAACTAAAGGGATGTGACTTCAGATTACTGTAAAAGGCTGCTTCATTCTGACTCATTGACAAAACCATTTTTATGAGCTTAAAAATACTATACATAACTATAATATTACATGTTAAATCCAATTACATTAAATCCTTCTAAAAGGAAGCAGGAAATAAATAAGAGTAAATCCTGGAATTCAACCATATGTATCAACTGTCTTAAAATTCTATTGTCATCAAACCTAATAAATCTACTAAGAAATTATTCTAAGAAAATAATGAGATGTATATGATATTCATATTTATAATAACAAAGAAAGGTGTTACATATCTTGTATTGAGTGAAAAAGATGATATAAAACAGCATATTCTCTATAAACCTTTTTTATTTATTTTAAATATATCTATCATACATATGCATAGAAAAGAAATCGAATGCATATATCACTAAATGTTAACAGTGGTTATGTATGAATGGATATTACAGGTAATTTTTAATTTCTCAATTTTACTTATGTATATTTCTAAATTTACTATAATGAACATCTATTACTTTTTTAAATATAAAAACAAAAATACAATAAAAGTTTGTTTTTAAAGAATATGAAAACAACTTAATACATGATGTGGCAAAAGTAGGTTTACAGTAGTTAGTACACAAAATAGAGTTTACTCTTGTGTTACTTATTAATTATTGTATTATTTTCCATACAAACAACTGTAAACCTACTTTTGCCCTACCCTGTAGAATAAGAGTTACCTACAACACATCAAACAAAGCCTGAAAGTTAGAATTGGAACTTTGGATCCATACTTTGAGTTCATTTCCATGGTTGTAGCATGTTCTTGAGAAATACAGCCTATCTCGAATCAAACAAACAAGGCCCCGCCAAAGAACAAAACAAAACAAAACAAACACCAAAATCCAGCACTTCCTTTTCTGGCAGAAATCCTCGCACACTAATGTTTTCAGCCTTTCTAGGCTATACTACTGTAATATGCTCCTCCTTCGACTATACATTAAATTTATAAACTTGCTCATTTGATAAGAGTTGAAATGACTTTCCTGCAAAGTGTTTTGAATCAGTAATATTCATAGCTGTGAAGTACACACCCCCGCACAGCTATTCAAACCTGACACCACACTCTTAGTATAGTATGGCGACAGAAAATGCTAACTAAACCAGGTTTTGCTGACTGTTAATGCTGAAGCACTTTACAGTGACTGGGACTGACTGATAGGGCTGTTCCTACTTAGGAAATCTAAAGACTTGGCCAAAGGTCCAGCTTTCTCAGAATTTCCAACAGGAAAGGAGTCTAAAGAAGCAGACTGGAGTTCTTCCAACCAGGACTTGTCCTTCAACTTCCATACAGTGAGCACCACCGTCTTATCCTTTGTGCTTTACTTGCTAAGCATTAGGAAAGAGGAAGGTTGATGAGACTGCATTAAAAATATGGGTAATTTTGCCGAAACTGGCAAAATTGGATAGAGCGTCGGTCTGCGGACTGAAGGGTCCTGGGTTCGATTCTGGTCAAGAGCATGTACATTGGTTGCAGGCACATCCCCAGTAAGGGGTGTGCTGGAGGCAGCTGGTCGATGTTTCTCTCTCATCGATGTTTCTAGCTCTCTATCCGTCTCCCTTCCTCTCTGTGGAAAATCAATAAAATATATTTTTAAAAAATATGGGTAATTTAAAAAAATTGATATATATTTGTGTTTATTAAGTCTGAAAAATACACACTAAAATATTAACAGTGGGTTTTCTCACAGTACTCTTTGCTTCTATTTATACTTTCTCTATATTTGCTATATGAATTAATTTCATAATCAGAGAAGATAAAGCTATTTTTTAAAGGAATCTCTTAGATCTGAGGGACTTGATTGTGTGCTGACATAAGTATAGATATATATTTGCATTATTTAAAAATTATTTTAAAAATTATAAAATATACATAAAATGAAAATGTACCATTACATTTTTAAGTGTACAGTTGAATGGCATTAAGTACATTTGCAGTGTTGTGCGACCATCACCACCATCCATCCACAGAACTTTCTTCATCTTGCAACACTGACTCTGTGCCCATCTATATATATAAAAGCCTAAGTGACCGCTTGACCCAAATGATGCACACTGATTATCAGGAGGGCAGACGCTCAGTTAAGGAGCTGCCCTCAGTGCACTCCCACACCCAGGAGTGGTGCTCAGCTGACCGATGGGCACCAGATACCGGGCTCACAGCTGATGAGCCTCTCCTGCCTCTGCAGCAGCACTACAGAGCAGCACTGCGGCAGGCACAGTTCGGCTGGGATGAGCAGGAATGGTGAGGCACCCAGCCTGAGCTTGGACTCCTCCCAGGCAGCCTGCCACTTCCTGCATTACTACATCCCTCGGGGATGTCAGGCTGTCGGTTTCTGTCTTATCCCAGGGTAGGGCCAAAATCAGCAGTCTGACATCCCTCAAGGAGTCCTGGATTGCGAGAGGGCACAGGTCAGGATGAGGGACCTCATAGGTGCACGATCCGTGCACTGGGCCTCTAGTTAAACACTAATTCCCAATTTCCTCCTCTCTTTCCAGCCTCTGGTAACCATTATTCTACTTCCTGTTTCTATATATTTGACTAAGTATCTCATATGAATGGAATCTCGATACATTTTTGAAATCTTAAGATTATTTTATACAGTGTATACTTTTCCCAGTAACAAAACTTAGAATGGACAAAACTATATTCCTCATTTTGTCTCTCATATTGCTATTATCGTATTCTGTGAGTCCCACAAATATCTGGGGCCAACCCAGTGCTCACCTGTGTAGGTGTGATGTGGCTGATGTCTTCAGATGCAAGCTGCTTCAGAAGGGTGGTCTTGCCAGCATTATCCAAACCCAGGAGAAGGAGTCTCACCTCCTGGTCTGGTGCACTTTTCAATTTTCGCAAAATTGAGAGTAAGCCCTTGAACAACCATAAAAAAGATTACTTTTGGGGCATTGACTTTCATATTATCAAACATTAGAGTACCTTCTCCTTGAAAAAAGTAATGTGGATAGCTTAATTATTATTATTTCCTGCTTTGATGCCATTTGTTCCATTTGCTTTCCCCTTCTATGTTTTGGCAGAAGTAGGCTAGTAAATTCAACAACTTAATAAATAGCATGGCTTATTTCTGCTCCTTCTATTAATCCATTTTAGTAATCACCCCAAATCTCCTAAAGCTCTTTATATAAACTTAGAGTACAGTACTCATCGAATCAGACTACAGGTGACTGACTTTTGTATTTTCCTCCTTTAGTAGAGTGAAGTTTCTCATGGTTAAGGACTATAGTTTCTGTTTCCCACATGCCTGGCACTAGATAGATACTAGATAATAGTTGTTTAATTAAACATAATTAACACCCAAGTTAATGTAAGTTAAAGGTGCTATACAAAGAAATACAAAAAAGTTATATGAAATTGTTTTTGGGCTCTCTGTTTCAGACTTCTTCATTTAGCTCTGGCCCAGTAGCTCAGATGGTTAGAGCGTTGTCCTGCTATGTTAAGGTTGCAGGGCATATACAAGAATCAATGCATAAACCAGTGGAACAACAATTTGGTCAGGGAACATACAAGAATCTCTCTCTAAAAAAATCAATAAATAAAATTTGAAAAAAGAAAAGAAAAAATAGCCAGGACCGGTTTGGCTCAATGGATAGAACATCAGCTTGGGGACTGAAGGGTCCCGGGTTCGATTCTAGTCAAGGGCATGTACCTTGGTTGCGGGCATATCCCCAGTAGGGGGTGTGCAAAAGGCAGCTGGTTGATGACTCTCTCTCATGGATGTTTCTAGCTCTCTATCTCTCTCCCTTCCTCTCTGTACAAAATCAATAAAATATTTAAAAAAAAAGAAAAGAAAAGAAAAAATAATTCATTATTCAAAATACTTCATCATCATGAGACCCTTACAGGACAGGTACACAGTGTGGATTATCTGTGTTTTTCCCCCCTCCAGATTTGTTCCAATAAGGCATAGTTACAAGAACCAAAGAATACCAGATTTTAAAGGGCATTTAATCTAATCTCCCAGCTCAAGCAGAAATCCCTTCAAACTCAATCTTAGAATTATATAAAATGGTCATATATATTTTTAAAAAAATATATTTTATTGATTTTTTACAGAGAGGAAGAGAGAGGGATAAAGAGCTAGAAACATCAATGAGAGAGAAACATTGACCAGCTGCTTCCTGCACACCCCCTACCGGGGATGTGCCCGCAACCAATGTACATGCCCTTGACTGGAATCGAACCTGGGACCTTTCAGTCCGCAGACCAACGCTCTACCACTGAGCCAAACCGGTTTCGGTTAAAATGGTCATATTTTTTTTATCTACATTGCATCAGGCAGTTATTCAAACCAGCCTATTCACTAGGATCAAATAATTCTATGAAATAATTCTCAACAACTGAGTCTATGGATAATGATATGCAAATATGCCTAATTTTTAAGAATTCCTTTCTCTTGAGAGACTCTTTGTTTACTACATCTAGTACTGTATTTGCACTGACTTGCTAAGGACCACATTAACCTCTCTATGCCTCAAATTTCCCAACATTAAAATGGAAGGATTGGTTAAAGACAGAAATACAAATTCTACACCAAAAGATCTGGGAAAGAGAGGCTGAACAGATTGAAACTAACAAACAAAAGATAGGCATGACACTTCTTTAGTTTTCATCTCTTCTGGCCTTGAATACTTTGATACCATTCCTTTTTTAAACTATATTTATGAGAATTCTCCCTGGCTTCTGTTAGCCACATTGCAATCACTCATTTATAATACCCTCTTTCAGAACAGTTAAAATTAGAATTCTGAGATCCTCAGGGGACTGGGATATAAAAAAGCTAAGAACAGGGGAAACACATTGTACTACTCCTGAGTTCCTGGTTAGATGTCCTCATTACCTTTCCAATAAAATTATAAAACAACTGGAATTTATCCCATTAGAACATTAAACAACAGTACAGGTACAGTTCTTCTCATAGAAATCGTGAAAGAAGGTCCGTTTTCTTTTTTTTTTCTTTTTTTTTTTAAGAGTTTCTTTCTTTTCTTTTTTTTAAAAATATATGTTTTATTGATTTTTTTCACAGAGAGGAAGAGAGAGGGATAGAGAGTTAGAAACATCGATGAGAGAGAATCATCGATCAGCTGCCTCTTGCACAGCCCCCACTGGGGACGTGTCCACAACCAAGGTACATGCCCTTGCCCGAAATCGAACCCGGGACCTTTCAGTCCGCAGGCCGACGCTCTATCCACTGAGCCAAACTGGTCCCGGCAAAGGTCCGTTTTCTATAAAATATTTTGAAGGTTCAAAATGAATGTTTCCTCACGTGTCTCTTCTTTTGAAAAACTATTAAATAAAAATACTGCATTCTGCAGGCTGAAATTTTTTTATGTACTCATTCTATTTGAAACTGATTAAAAGAAAAATACAATTTCTATTTATCTTAAAAGGAGAAAAGCAAAGCACAGATGAGAAAGAAATCATTTTAACTATAGTTAAGCTTTATTAACCTAATGGTATACAAAACAAGGCATCTACATTTCTAATGGGCAATATTCCTCAGCGGGAAACAATGGCTTCACTTGTTTCACCTTTAAGTGAAATTACTGAGAAATGAAAAGTTCAGCTAATATTTTCTTCCAGCAAAATAATAAATGGCATTTCAAGCATGGTCCAGGAGAGACAAATGCAAATACAATACAGCCTCATATTAACCCAACTACTGAGCACAGGGGATCACAGGATTACAGGGTTTGCTAAATAGGGAAGAGGATATTTATAGATATCAGGATTCTGCCTGAAAGGTACAAAGTAAGCTGGAGGAAAGAGAACAGAATAAGTCTATTCTGTGTTTCTATCTATTGATATAAAGGTCCATATTTCATTTTAAATGTCAAATGAAAGAAGGCAGACATTAGAAGTTAATTTTATTATGGAGCTAAGTGTGCAGAATAAATCCAAGGGAATGGATTTTAAAGGTGTATTTTTTGTCAAAACATTCATTCATTCATTCATTCATTAAATTCCCATAATGTGCCCAAGTGCAGTAGTGAGTAAAATAGACACGATCTCCATGCAGGATTTGTGTTCCTATGCCATTAAACAAAGGCAATTTAAGAAACAAGAACTTCAGTTCTCTGTGGATTGTGTTATCACCATGCATGTACTAATATACAAGTTGTATGCACCCTGGTGGATAAAAGTGGTCTGACTCGCCCATAAATGTTTATACAAACTTTCTTACGGGCAAATCATGAATAGGTGTGCTACATTATACCTGCCTCAAAATCAACTTAAACTCAACTACTGGCAGAGGAGTGGAAGCACTGACCTAAAATGATACAAACTAGGTCATTTAAAGAAACTGGTGTAGTGGAATGGGGAAAGGAAGATAATGGTATATGGAAAATGCATGCGGCTCTGAGGAGCAGCTAATACTTAAATAATCCAAAGTCATAAGGCAACTGTCACGTGCATGCACTCCCCATGACTAGCTTAAATAGAACTGACTTCAATTTATTTTTACCTCTTTAATCTAACAAAAGATTGGTGCTGCCTAGTAAGACCTTAACTAATTTTCAGGAATTCCTATGGTTTAATAGAAAGAACTTCACCCAAATTTTGCCTTCTTTCTCCTCACCTCTCAACTAAATAAAACACCACGTTTCTTGAGGAATAAAATATGGGCATCTTCTCCGAAAGATTGTGGGTTCCCACCTCATCAGAATACTAATGAAAAGAACATCATGGGGTTTAGAGTTTCATAGATTTGTATTCAATTTCCCTATATATGTAACTCCAGGCATAGTTAGATCTAGAAAATGGGGACAATACTTTTAAGAAAAATGTTAGAGCCTGGCCAATGTGGTTCAGTCGGTTGAGCATCATCCTGTGCACCAAAAGTGCGCCTGTGTGATTCCCAGTCAGGGCACATACCCAGGTTGCAGGTTCGATCCTGGGTTGGGTACTTATGGGAGGCAACCAATAGATGTTTCTTTCTCACATCGATCTCTCTCTCTCTCTCTCTCTCTCTCTCTCTCTCGTCAATAAAAACATTTTTTTAAAAAGAAAAAATGTTAGGAAGATTAATAAGGTAATGCATGTAAAGCATAGGCACATATTAGGCACTCAAAACCATTGTTGTGTTTATTCTTCTTCTTTTTACTTTTCAATGACTATGTCTGACCAGAAAACAATCTTGGCAACCACCTTCAAATGTTTAATACTATCACTAGGTTCATACATGTAGAAAGCCGTCAGTAAGTAATTCCTGAATGAAGGAGTCATTATTAAATAACAATAATTAGTTATACCCTAAAATTACTGCCATCTTAGTATTTCACCAAGGATGTAGAATCATAAGGGGGGTGTGTGTGTAAAATAGCTGACCCTAAATGTTCAGAGAAACCCCAATGGGTTTTTGTTGTAGTACTCTCCAAATTAAAAGTATGTATTAGTCATAGCTGAAGATATATTAAAAAAACAAAAACAAAACCACAACCCCAAACCCAACACCCTGGGACTTACTGTTCAGTTGAACAATTACCATGGGGGCCCATGGGATACAAGATGTGACACCACTGACCCTTTAAATTCCATGTTCCACTTTCAGTTCTAAGAATAGCTTGCACTTTGGGAGATAGGGGAAAAAGTGTATTTTGGAAACCAGATAAAGAATCCAGAATAATTTGTCCTAATTTCCTATTGCTCATTTTAAGTAAAAAGAAAAACAAAAAAAAACAAATCTGTCTTGATCACTGAACAGAACAGTTGCATAACAATGTTGCATACACTGTGTATTTGTTGTATGCAGTGTACTTTTCACCTGGAAACATGAGCAGTGGTTAATTTATTGTGGTCCGTAATTATAAGCTAAACAATCATGAAATTACAGCCCATTTGATTGATAAAAAAAACTGGGAAAAAGGCTACTCTCATACATTTCTCATTTATGATGACATCTCATTCTCGATTAGGTTGGCATGCCTTTTTCATTTCAATTCTAGTTATTTTCAATAAATATAAATATGTATGTTTATATTCATTTGTTGAGAAAAGCTTAGCCTTTAAATGGACAACTCATGTATAAAGGATTAATCAAAAGAAAATGCAAAAATCTATTTAGCCTGAGGCTAATAAAACAATGTAGCAAGTGTGAAATGTGATTGGCAACTTTAGATCAAATAATTCTACTTCTTTATCAGTCTGACAGTGTAAAATCAATAGAAAATTTTTTTCTTATCGGCATTTATTCATTAGATAATCTGACCAAAGGTACATATTTTTTCCTTGTGAACACTTAGTAGCTTTTTCTTCTAAATCAATAGAAATGGTTCACCCTGGCCAGTGTGGAGCATTGAGAGGTCGCTGGTTCTATTCTGGTCAGGGATATGCCTAGGTTTCGTGTCTCTCTCCCCCTCTCCCTTTCTCTATCTAAAATCAATAAAGACACATTAGATGGAAACATATATATATATATGTGTGTGTATATATGGATATATGCAGTTCAACATTTCTAAAAGTAAAAAAGAGATTGGGGTTGGGGTAGGGAACTGACTCTTAAGTGTGAGTACTGGCTCTTTACAGTTGGAAAGCCAACCAACCTGTTCTAAACGCTTCAAAATCCATTTTTCTTTGCTTCCTCCTAAGACTACTTAATTTCATTTTAACACCCTCCAGTTAACTTCAAAGAAATCATCAAGGAACAGATGATTTCTGGTCAAATCTGTCACACATCATACTTTACAGTTTTGGGAAGGTTTCCTTAGGTCTGACGGAGAAAAGGATTGCCCCAGGTTGATGCCCACCCTATAGTTTTCATTTCCCACTCAATTTCGTTTGCAGACCCCACGCTGAAATTGCCCCCGTGGTTCTGGTGTGGCCATCCGCAAAAGAAGGCTGCAGCAGGTTCTGCAGGAAATGCCAGGGACTGGGCAGCAAATCTGCTTCCATCTGCATGGATTAAGTATTGATCATCACGTACAACCAGACCTTGCAGAAGCCTCAGCAAATAGCTCAGGACTGCAGAAGCAAGCCCGCCACACACACACACACACACACACACACACACACACACACACACCGAGCACACCGAGGCAGCGTAAAATCCACCAGGCACATCTTCCAAGCGGGACCTCTTTTGTGTCCTGGGATTTACACCCTGCCCCCCAGACGGCCGCACACCGCTAGGTGAAAAGAAAAGGAGCGCTAGGCTACCAACTCCCACGGTACCGCTAGGGCGCCCTGAGCCGCGGTAGCGCTGGCTCTGCTCCCCGCTTCTGGCCCGGGGGGACCCCAATGTCTGGCGGCGTGAGGAGGCCAGTTCCCTGCGAGCATCTAAGCAGCTCCGCGGCTCCGCCCTCACCCCAGTCCCCTGAGTAATGATGGAGCCCAGGCTCCGAACGGAACATCCACGCACCCTTCCTGCCCCTTCTCCCCGAGCTTCAGACCGCTGCACGTCCCGCCTTCCTCCCCAGGCCCGGGTCCCACACCCTCGGGGTTCCCCGCCACCCCGCGAAACCGACCCAAGACCAGCCAGCAAGCTGAGCTCCATCCCATTCCCAACTTTGCTGTAAGCGCGGTGCCCCGCCCTGGGCCCGGGGCCGAGATGGGGAGTAGGGGAGGAGGGGGAGGGATGACCGACGGGCTTAGGAGGGGCCCAGGCCCCCACACTCACCATCCTTCTGCCGAGTCCCTCCTCCTCCTCCTCCTCCTCCTCCTCCTCCCTGTGCCACCCCCGTTACCAGGGGCAACTGTTGTGGCGCCGCCCCCGACGTCCCTCGCACGCACCGCAGCGGAGCTAAGCAATAGAACGCGCGGGTTCCAGCGCCGCCGTGCCCGGAGTGCGCAGGCGCGCCGCGGTTCCCGCCCACTGCGCAGGCCCGCCCCCGGGACGGCGGGAGGCTCTGGAAGAGTGAAAACTCGCCCACGTGGCCGGCGGGCGGCCCGGCCTGTGATTGGTCAGGAAGGAGCGGCGTAGGGGCGGGGCGAGGGGAGGTTCCCGAGCGGAGTCTGACGGGGCTTCCGGGCCAAGCCTGCACACACTCTTCCCGGGACCAGGTAAGTGGTCTTGGGAGCCAGCCGCCTGCTGCCAAGTCTACCTTTTAGTTCTTCAGTCCCGGGAGGGGGCTTGTGTGTCTGTCCACACTCAGACCGGGCTGGCCTGCAGCGCGGCCTGGGCTTCTTCCACCTGCTGGAGCCACGTGGCGAGCGGAGTGGCCAGGACCTGCCTCTCCGGTTTGGCCCCCAGCAAGCTCCAACTGTCAGTCTGAGGGGAGGGGGCCTAAAGGGTGGTGCACCCTTCTCCACTCCCCACTGTGGAAAGCCTGGGGTGGAGGAGGCCAAGGGGTGGGAGGCTGCCTGTCGGAGGAGGCGACAAGCTGCTGAGGAACTGTTTCTGAGCCCTGAAGTGAGCTGACAGCGCGGGTGAAAGACGTGGTGGGTTAGCGGGGTTTTGCTAAGTGACTTTAGGACCGGGAGGTACGACTTTTGCAGTCCCCAAGGAGGCCAAAAAATAATAATAATAATAATAAAAATGGGCCTCTTCTTCTAGGCACCTAAGACGGAGGGGAGTCTGGGTGAGTTGGGAGGTCCTATCTCCCACCTCCTCCCCAGGCAGCGGACAGGAAAAGAGTATTCACAGGGAGCCAGATCCTGGAGACACAGCAGCGCACAAAATGTACCCTCTTGGATATTACATCCTTATTTCGCACAATATTTCGTTTCATTCTCAACCCTAGGAAGTGGTTAGTTTAAGCAATGTAGAGGAGATTTGAACCCATTTCTGTCTGACTCTTATGTAAGTTCTTTTAAACGTTTTTGTATTGTCCAGAACAGAGTGGCCTATATTTGTGATGTAAACCTAGAACTTTTTAATAACCAATATAGTGTGTGTGTGTGTGTGTGTGTATGTGGGGTGGTGGGGATATACCTTGACTGGACATGCCTGTGTGCCTTTTACTCACCTCCCTGGGTAGGTAAGGATTATACAAATTATAATTGGAGATTATATAAATTATTACATGTCCAGTTTATAGAACATTGCCTGGCACATAGGAAGTGCTATATAGGACTTAGCTATTACACTCATGCACCGCATAACTTAGTATCAATCAACAGTAACATGTGTTCATATATGTTGGTGACCCCCATAAGATTATGATGAACTGAAAAATTCCTATTGCCTAGTGACTCTTGTAGCTGTCCTAACATAGCACATTACTCATGTGTTTGTGGTAATGATGCTTAAATAAACCTACTGTGCTGCCAGTCATATAAAAGTATAGTACACACAATTATGTACAGTACATCATACTAGAAAATAAGCAACTATATTAATGTTTTATGTATTTACCGTACTGTACTTTTTATTGTTATTTTAGAGTAAACTCTTTATGCTTATAAAAAAAAGTTTGCTGTACAACTATTCTGTTACACTGGAAGCAGCCTCCTACCTATCGTGTTTACCATGTCTCTTGTTTTCATCATTTTCTCTTGCACTTGGTTTAAATTTGTATTGTTTTATATAGTAACATGCTGTACAGGTTTGTAGCCTTGGAGCAATAGGCTATCCCGCATGTCCTAGGTGTGTAGTAGGCTGTACTGTCTAGGTTTGTGTAAGGCACTCTGGTGTTCACACAACTGCAACGTCACCCAATGAGGCATCTCTCAGAGTGTATTCCTGTCGTTAAGCAGAGCATGACTGTATTAATAGTTTCACCTAGGTTTTTAGACTTTGCCCCTCTTCCTGACAGCAGGTTTTCTAGTCTGGTGAAGATCATTGGAATGAAGGTAGACTTCCCCTGAATGGTCCTTAGCTATTTAAGAATCCAACTAAAGTAATTTTTTAAACATCTGCTCCCTGCATACCTGCTTCAGATCATTGGAGAGAAAACTCAGTTAACATCCTTGACCAATGTGGGGCTCTGTAAGGCAAATCGGTGTGTGATTTGCTGTCCAGGCCAACTTCTTATAGGTTCTTTTGGAGTCAGGTGAACGCTTTCCCCTCTCCCACTCCTGGCTCAGTTGGGACTGAGTGAAACGCCTTTGGTCTTTGAACCAGCCTGCAGGAGGCCGAGTTAGCCTGTTCCTGGAGGCAAAGCCCAGAGCTCCATGGGCACAGGCTGTGCATGTGAGCTTGTCATTTTCTGTGTATGGAAGATTCTGAGTTAAGGTGATATTTTAAAGAGAAAAAAAAGAGACATATAACCTAGTAGTGGAAGATATAAATTAAATCTGAAAATTATTCATTATAAAAATGAGTAGGTGTTATTAGTGAAAAGGGGAAGGAATAGCACTCTGGACAGGGAATGTATTTGCTAAGGAACAGGTGGCAGGCAGCCTATTGCATCTCAGAAAGTCCTATGGGCCCTAAATGGTTTGGCTCAGTGGATAGAGCGTTGGCCTGTGGATTGAAAGGTCCCAGGTTCGGTTCCGGTCAAGGGCATGTACCTTGGTTGTGAGCACATCCCCAGTGGGAGGTGTGCAAGGAGGCAGCTGATTGATGTTTCTCTCTCATCAATGTTTCTAACTCTCTATCCCTCTCCCTTCCTCTCTGTAAAAAAAAAAAAATCAATAAAACATTTTAAAAAAGAAAAAAGAAAGTTTTTTGGCACTTGAAACTCAACTTGTGGAAAAATAAAACTTACTCTTTCTCCCCCCCCCCCCCCCCCCCGAAAACCTATTTTTCTTTTTTTTTTTTTTTTTTTTTTTTTTAATATATATTTTATTGATTTTTTACAGAGAGGAAGATAGAGGGATAGAGAGTTAGAAACATCGATGAGAGAGAATCATCGATCAGCTGCCTCCTGCACACCCCCCACTGGGGATGTGCCCGCAACCACAGTACATGCCCTTGACCGGAATCGAACCCGGGACCTCTCAGTCCCCAGGCCGACGCTCTATCCACTGAGCCAAACCAGTTTTGGCCGAAAACCTATTTTTCTATATTCTCAGACTCAGCACATTTTTGCCCAAATCAGAAACCCCAGGTATCACTCTAAATATTTGTGATGTGTCAACTTGACTAGGCCAAACAAAATTCCTTAGCATCCCCCTTCCCCCCTCATATGTTTGTATTGGGCTATGAGGGAGAAGCAGCCGTTCCTAGCCAATCCCTTCCCACACACTTTCTCCCAGTTATTCCATGGAACACTAATTTAGGGACTGTGGTGAAGGAATTTTGCAAATGTAATTAAAATCCATAATGGGTTGGTTTTGAATTAACCTAAAGGGAGATTATCCTGGTGGTCTGACTTAATCAGATGGAATCCCTTTAAAAGAGGGCTAGGCCCCCCAGGAGTCAGAGACAGCTGGGCCTGCATTACTTCCCTTTCCCCCAGGATCAGCCCTTTCTGACTGTCTCTTTTGTTGACCTCCTGCTTACTTAGCCAACTCCCATAATTACATAAGCCAATTAGCTAATTCCTTGTAATAAATCAATTTTTATCAGTGTGTGTGTGTGTGTGTGTGTGTGTGTGTGTGTGTATGTGTGTGATTTTTGTTGTTGGCGGAAACAAAGTTTATGGTGGATAGACAGACTTCCTGCCGTAAGAGGGCAGCAGGAAGGGGGCCCAGAGTGGATTGCCTGTGTATGAGATTTTATATGTCTATATATTTCTTATTGATTCTACTTCTCTACTTAAACCTGACTCATAATATTCCTCTTATACCTGATCACTTAGGTTCTCTAATTTTGGGCCCTCCTCTCTGATTAGTGCATTTGGGTTCATTTGAGCCCCACTTCTTGCCTGATTATTAGGGTCCTCTTCCAGCTCCCCTTTCTGAGTCTTTATCTCATACTAGAGGTGCAGTGCATGAAATTTGTGCACAGGTAGGGTCCCTAGGACTGGCCAGCGATCAGGGCCAATCAGGATCTTCCTTTGTTCCATGCCATCACCTGGTGGTCAGCGCATGTCATATTAACCTTTTATTATATAGGATGATTGTTCTGTATAAGCTACACATCTGATCTTGTCACTCTTCCTAAAAATTTTAAAAAAAATATATTCCATTGATTTTATACAGAGAGGAAGGGAGAGAGATAGAGAGTTAGAAACATTGATGAGAGAGAAACATCAATCAGCTGCCTCTTGCACACCCCTACTGGGGATGTGCCTGCAACCAAGGTACATGCCCTTGACCGGAATCGAACCTTTCAGTCCGCAGGCCGACACTCTATCCACTGAGCCAAACCGGTTTTGGCATCTTCCTAAAATTTTTTAATGGCTTCCTAAATTTTAAAATTTTTTAAAATTTATTTTTAATATACTTTTATTGATTTCAGAGGGGAAGGGAGAGGTAGAGAAATATAGAAACATAAATGATGATAGAGAATCACTGATTGGCTGCCTTCTGCATGCCCCACACTGGGGATCAAGTCCACAACCTGGGCTTGTGCCCTGACCTGGAATCGAACCACGACCTCCTAGTTCATAGGTTGATGTTCAACCACTGAGCCAAGCTGGCTGGCCTTCTTCCTGAAATTTTTAGGCAAAAGTTTCTAAGCCTTAGATTTTTGTTTGACTTCAGTTTCTCTCTTCTGTTAGCATATTTATTATTAATTTTTCTTTTGGGAAAATTTTTTAGTGGTTGCCCTAGCGTTTGCAATATACATTTTCAACTAACTCAAGTCCACTTTCAAATAATACTATACCACTTCATTTCAAGTACCTTATAATAGAATATTCTCAGTTCCTCCCTCCCATCCACTAAATCGTTCACTTATCTACAGCTATAATCACGGGATACATGGTTGCTATCATTATTTTGAATACACTGTTATCTGTTTACAATTAGAATAAGAAAAGTAAAGATTTAAAAAATATATATATATTTTATTGATTTTTGGGAGAGGGATAGAGAGTTAGAAAGATTGATGAGATCAAATCATTGATTAGCTGCCTCTTGCACACCCCCTGCTGGGGATGTGCCCGCAACCAAGGTACATGCCCTTGACCCGAATCAAACCCAGAACCTTTCAGTCTGCAAGCTGATGCTCTATCCAGTGAGCCAAACTGGTTTCAGCCTCCTTTATTTTTTAAAGGATCGTTTTGTTTGATGCAGAATTCCAGGTTCATGGGTTGTTGTTTTATACTTTCAACACTTACAAGTAAATATTTCACTCTACTCTTGATTACATGGTTTCTAAAGAAATGTCTGATGTAATTCTTTGCTCTAAGTAAGGGTTTTTCCCCCTCCTCTTTCTGGCTGCTTTCTTGATTTTCTGCGGCTTGAATATAATATGCCTACATGTAGATTTTGGGGCATTTATCTTGCTTGGTGTTCCCTGAGACTCCTCAATTTGTGGTTTGGTGTCTGTCATTAATTTTGGAAATTTTTCAGTCATTCTTTTTTTTTTTTTTTTTTTACACCAAGCAACCTACATAGCTGCTTTTCAATCATTACTTCTTCAAATATTTCTTTTCCTTTCTTCTCCTTCTGGTATTCCCATTATGTGTTTGCCACATCTTTTGTAATTGTATCAAGGTTCTTGGTGATTCTATTCTTTTTTAATTTTCTCTCTCTCTTTTTTAAAAAAAAAAATATTGATTTCAGAGCAGGAGAGAGAGAGAGAGAGAGAGAGAGAGAGAGAGAGAGAGAGAGAGAGAGAGAGAGAGAAAGAGAAATATCAATGAGAGAGAATCCTTGATTGGCTGCCAGAAGCACTAGGGGATAGTTTTCTGATCTTCACCTTGAGAACCTACTGGACTCCTGGAGGTAAAACTCACAAAAGTAGTGTCCCCCCAAGATTGAGTCCCCACCTGTCCACATCGAGCTCCAGAAATTCGTTGATTACAGTTTTAAGTTTTCCAGTGAGACTTGCCCAGGCAGTGGGCTTCTGCTCTCAATGAGCTGAGTGACTCCTTACCTGCCTGCCTCCAGGTTTTGAGGCAGTGGTTTGCCCTGTGATCTCGGTTCTCTGATGGGTCTAAGAATAGTTGTTGATGTTTAGTTTGTTCAGCTTTTTTTCTTCTTGTGAGGGTAGGAGTGACATTGTGCACACCATGAGCTTTAAGTGCTGGCTCTTCCTTTTGCTTGAAATACTGCTCTTCCATCTATTTAACTTCTATGTGTATTTCCAAAGCATTGTTTATTTCTCATACTAACAAAGTGTGTTCAGAATCCCTCATCTAGCCCAGAACCCACGGTGGCAGGCTGTGGGGGTGGAGGGGTGGCCCTGGAGTGGGGGATTTGGGATCTAGCATGGTGGCTGTGGGGCTGACAAATGGAGAAGAAAAAGCCTTTGGTGGCTGTGAAGGCCCTGATGCCACATGGCCCAGGTCAAGTTGCTGAGAATGACAAATGAAATCAATTTTAGAGAGATCCCTTCATATGAACTATCAAAAGCATGCATGGCCGAGACCGGTTTGGCTCACTGGATAGAGCGTTGGCCTGCAGACTCAAGGGTCCCAGGTTCGATTCCGGTCAAGGGCATGTACCTTGGTTGCTGGCACATCCCCAGTGTGTGTGTGTGTGTGTGTGTGTGTGTGTGTGTGTGTGTGCAGGAGGCAGCTGATTGATGATTCTCTCTCGTCGATGTTTCTAGCTCTCTATCCCTCTCTCTTCCTCTTTGTGAAAAATCAATAAAATATATTTTTTAAAAAAGCATGCATGTATTTTACTTACAAGGTTCGCTACACTAACAGCTTCACAGAGATTTCTGAATTCCCAATTGCACCTGAAATTGCACTGGAACTGCTGATGGCTGAGAACTTCCTAGATTGTTAAATAAAATAAATTATAAACTGTTAGCTATTTTCAGTATTTAATACCGGTAATTTGGTTAGTAATTTTTTCATAGATAGTATGTTGCTTGTGTGCGATTGAACTTTAAAGTCCATTGCAAAGCAGACTATCGTCTCTTCTTTTGTATGACACAGTTGAAATTTGTTTTGCTACATCAGCAGATTAAGGACATATTCACCAATTGAGAAATAAACAAATATGCCATTTACTCGGTAGTTTGCCCTTACCCTTTGGATGTGATTTTTAAAATCAGAGCAGTGGCGATATAGTAAATGCTGAAATTTAGTCATAAATGAACATATTCTACAGGTAAATATTGGGGCTATGTATTTTTATGTTCTTGTGTTGTTGTTTTTAAACCTATTTTGATCTTATAGCTGTCATTACTTTTATTAAAATTATGCAAATAATTGCATTGTAAACATGTTTATAACTTAGACATGTTGATTTTTTTTTTTTTTTTTTTTTTTTTTTTTTTTTTGTCCACGAGGGTTCCTTTTTCTCCGCAACCTCGCCAACACTTGTCGTTTGTTGATTTGTTGATGTTGGCCATTCTGACAGGTGTGAGATGGTACCACATTGTTGTTTTGATTTGCACCTCTTGGACAATTAGTGACTTTGAGCATGTTTTCATGTGCCTTTTGGCCTTCCTTCTGTGACATGTTGATTTTTATAACTGTCAAAGACATGAGTTGAAATTTCTTATCTGTCTTTTGATAAACTGCAGTATTGTTTTAAATGTATCTTGTCTTTTTGTTCATTGCTAAAATTTAAGAACTTTATTTAAAAGCAATTTGGAAGATTACTTAGAAAGGCTATTGGAGTAGTGACCTTTTGAATTGTAGCCATGTGGTCAATAAGTGAAGTACAAGACCTTGATTTCATGTGTACTGTGCATTTTGGCCAACCCAAAGTATTGTATTTTCATTGATTACAAAACTTCCTTTGTAATATTCATTCTTCTTACATAGGCCCTTGTTATGATTATACTTCTGGTTGCTTAAATGTTTTAAAAGATTCATTGTGAACTTTACTCACATCTTAAAAGCTGTACTTTTCTGAACAAATCCAGTCTTCCTGTATCCAACTGAAATGTTATAAAATATGACAAGCATGTGGACAGATATAGGGAAAATCTTGTAATGCATTGTGATATAGTATATGAATTATCTTCTATTAATTAAAATTTGTCCCAATAAATATGCCCATCATCTGTGGGTCTCCTACTGATATCTAACTTGTAAAGAGGTCATTCAGCTTTTATACTAAGCAGACCAAAAATGTTTCAAAAGCTATGACAGAGCATCTCTGCTTGGGCCTGGGAAAAGAGAACTGTAGTTTGGTTTATTATTGTTTCTATCTTAGGAAATCAAAGCTATCATTAGGGTTTTTAAGTTTCTATCTTAGTTCTTCAAGACTGGTTTAATATGGACCAATTTTTATGGGCACTGCAAAAGTCATAAACAACCAAGGTCTATAAATGATTTTCCTCTTAGAAAAACTTAACATACTTTCTAGCTTATTGAAAGCAGTTAAATATATATGTTAATTCCATATATTTAGTAACTTATTAAGATATACTGCTGGTACGTATTTTAGTATAGAAGATTACCAAGTACAAGAATTATATTCTGCTACTTGAGACAAATGATGATAATTATAAATCTAAATAATAAAAGGTTAAGCCATGAGGCTGGCATGGCTCAGTAGTTGAGCGTTAACCTGTGAACCTGAAGATCCCAGTTCGATTCCCGGTCAGGGCACATGCCAGTGTCTTGATCCCCAGTGGTGGTAGAAGTGGTGGTGGTGATGGAGGAGGAGGAGGAGGAGGAGGAGGAGGAAGAGAGGGCATGCAGAAAGCAGCCGATTGATATTTCTGTCTCATCAATGTTTCTCCTCCCTTTCTCTCTCTAAAATCAATTAAAAAATATATTTAAAAAAATAAAAAATAAAAGGTTAAGGTGTTAGTTAGAATCAAATTTTACTTTGACCGATTTTAGTAGGTTACTTCTTATGTTAGATTCACAGTAATCTTAAGTTAAAATATTGAAAAGAACTGAAAGATTAGGAAAACATGTATATCTTGTGGCAAATGATACTTGCATATTAATAAAGGCTCTATTGACTAAAAAAAAAAGAACCCCTCATCTATTTCAGATAAGGTGACCATTTCATTTATCATCCAAATTGGGACACATCCACATTGAGAGTGAAAGGGGTGCTATTCGTAATGACCCCAGGCCAACACTCCTAGGCAAACTGGGAGATATGATCATCTCAGTTTTAGATGTCTCTTTGCTGGCTTTCCCCTGCTCCCAGTGTCTGCTGCCCTTACTGAATTACTTACCTGTTTAGCCTCTATTCTGAAAGCCCTTGAGGGCAGACATGGCGCCTCACTCACAGCCATGGCCCTGAAGCTCTCACAGGGCCGCCATGCACCACACACACACAGACACGGTAATGATGGAAATGATCATGCCACGTTCATTTCTACTTTACCTGTGATAGTTTCTACCTTTAACGGGATCCCCTGCCTTCTACCTCCTTCAGGTAAACCTGTCTTCTAGGGCCTTGCTCACATTCCACTCCTCCTGGGAAGCCCTCTTTGATTGCTCTGCTCCTCCGCCCCTCAGTCTCTGCTTCTGCCTATTTCCTGTTTTGCTGTACATATTACATACTGTTCCACTGTGGGCTCTTGTTCCTCAGTCAGTCTCAGCTCTCCAAGTACAGGCACTGCGTTGACCCTTTCCCAAGTCTCCCCCGTACCATGACCAAGCATAGGGCTGGCCATTAGTAGGCACTCAGGAAACACATGTTGGTACCCAGTTGCTCAGTCTGAGCCCTTCCCAAAATGAGTTAGATGACGGCAGTGGCTGGTGAAAGCAGGCAGTTCACCAAAGTGGGAGATGGGGCCAGGTTTTTTTTTTTTTTTTTTTTTAAATATATTTTTTATTGATTTTTGTACAGAGAGGAAGGGAGAGAGATAGAGTTAGAAACATCAGTGAGAGAGAATCATCGATCAGCTGCCTCTTGCACACCCCCTACTGGGGATATACCCGCAACCAAGGTACATGCCCTTGACCGGAATCGAACCCGGGGCCCTTCAGTCCCCAAGCCGACGCTCTATCCATTGAGCCAAACTGGTCCCGGCTGGGGCAAGGTTTTGATTTAGGGAACAGCCCTCATTTTTCCTGTCTTCCTTAAGTACCCAGTTGTGTGTGAGCAAGATGGAGCCTGACCTGTCTGGTTTTAACATCGATGCCCCCCGTTGGGACCAGTTCACTTTCCTGGGGCGGGTGAAGCACTTCTTCAATATCACGGACCCTCGCACTGTTTTGGTACCAGAGCGGGAGCTGGATTGGGCCAAGATGATGGTGGAGAAAAGCAGGTGAGTGGCTAGGGGGAAGGGTTGGAGGCACTGGGGCAACTTGGATGGGTTCCCTACAGGAGGTGGAAGCGGAAGATGAGGGTATAGGCAGAAATCTCAGGAAGGAGGGAGAAAGTAGAGCAGGATGACTTGGAGTGGGGGGACAAGGGGGTAACTCTGTCCTTGGGTGACAGGATGGGGGCCGTGCCCCCAGGGACTCAAGTGGAGCAGCTGCTGTATGCCAAAAAGCTGTATGACTCTGCCTTCCACCCTGACACCGGGGAGAAGATGAACGTCATTGGACGGATGTCCTTCCAGGTTCCCGGCGGCATGATCATCACAGGCTTCATGCTCCAGTTCTACAGGTGGGATTTGGGAACAAGGCAATGGGAGGTGTAACCACTTGGGTCTGCTCGGCAGGGAGCCATATTATTATAATAGCCATCATTATTGAAACTTTCCGATGCTAGGCACTGTGCTAAATTCTTTGAACGTGTTACCTCATTTAATTTTCTCAACAGTCCTACAGATAGGTACTATTACCTCTCCATTTTATAGATGAGAAACTGAGGCTCGAGAGAGGTTATATAACTTGTGCATGATCATATAGCCAGGAAGTATTCGTACCTGGATTTTAACATAAGTTAGTCCTTTCTAGAACTTTCAGTGAATAAACTATGCTAATTTCCTCTTTAGAAAGTGCTTATATTAACAATGAATTCAATGTTTTTTATAATCTACACTAATAAAAGAGAAACATGCAAATTAACCATCATTTTGCTACACCCACCAGCCAATCAGGAGCAAGTATGCAAATTAACCCAACCAAGATTGTGGCCACCACAGAGTTGGAGCAAGCAGGAGGCTTGGGTTTCCCCAAGCGATGGAGGAAGCCAAGCTTCCTGCCCTGGCTGACCCTGGCGTCCGCTCAAGGCTACAAAGTTTCAATTATAGAAGATAAATAAATCCCACATACCTGTGGAGGAGCAAGCAGGGTGGTGGAGGCAGGAGGGAAGCAGGCGGGACTTTGCTCCCTTCTTTGCTTTACTCAGGAAGCCCTATTCTTGCAGGAATCTTCCTGCAACAAGCCTCCTATTAAAAAAAATAGGAAGGCCCTTTCAGCTCACTTGGGGAGAGAATAAACGTAGCTGCTGCATGTGTGACTATTCCCCTTCCTCTCTTCATTCTTCCGTGCCCTCCCCCCCCCATGCATTTATTTGTCTTGTTATTGAGCCAGACTTTGAGCCCCAGCTCTTAGGAATATAAAGACTTTAGTCCTTCTTTCCCCTCAAGGAGCTTCCAGTTTTGTTAGAGACCAAGAAGTAAGTGAAGAGTTACAGTCCAGCTTGCTAAGTAGTAGGTTGAGGAGAGAATATGGGATTGTAGGAGTTGGGAGCATGGGATGACTTTGCCTCAGGAAGGGCAGGGGAAGGGTCAAAAAGGTTCCAAGGAGAAAGTAATCTCTCAACAGGGTGTGATTTAGCCATGTTTGGAACAGTGTGAGAGTGTGAATGAGTGTTGTGTGTGTGTGTGTGTGTGTGTTCCAGGAAGAGGGGAAAGGCTGTACAAAAGCCCAGGTGTACAAAACACGGGGACAGTTTGGGGAACAGCTGTTAACATGGTTTGACCTGTGCATACCTCCCTTCATTCTCCTCTCCTTTCCGGACCTCGATTCCTGGTAGGACGATGCCCGCGATCATCTTCTGGCAGTGGGTGAACCAGTCCTTCAACGCCTTAGTCAACTACACCAACAGGAACGCGGCTTCCCCCACATCAGGCAGGTAGGAGACCTGAAGCCCAGGCTGTGCACCTGGGTTTGGAGGAGGTGGCTGTCCTTTTGCTTCCAGGGGAACAACCTTGCTAGAGGGTTCTCAAGCTGTCTGTCCTCCCCGCGTAGGGTTCACACTGGACAGGTGACAGTTTCCCCTTTTCAGGGTTTGGAAGTGTTTTCTTAGGCTGACTAGGAAAGCATCTTCTTCTTGGACCAATTCAAAATATGTTCATTCTAAAAACATTTCTTCTACATTCATTCCACACATATGCAGGAATGATTCAGATGCTAGGGATACGTTTGAGTAAGGCACTTGTGGTCCCTCTTTTTGTAGACTTTAAGGTCTAAGAAAACAAGTGCAGTAACCTCAGATTGTCGCCATTAGGAAACACACAGGTGACAAATTAGGGAACAGCAGAAAGGTGTCTGTGTAGATGGGCTGGTCAGGGAAGTCCACAGCTGGGAGCTGGATTTTGAAGAATAAAGATTTAGCTATGAAAGAGCCCAGGGAGCCCAGCCAGTGTGACTCAGTGGTTGATCATTGACCTATGAATCAGGAGGTCATGGTTGAATTCCCCCTCAGGGCACATACCTGGTCTCGATCCCCAGAATGGGGACATATAGCAGACAGCCAATCAACGATTCTCTCTCATCATTTTGGTTTCTATCTCTTTCTCCCTCTCCCTTCCTCTCTGAAATCAATAAAAATATATTTAAAAAGAAAAGGAAAAGCCCAGGGAAGAATACCCTGGGAAGGGAGCAGCAGCGTGCAGAGATCCTGAAGTAGGAAAAAGCTGGGTGTGTTTAAAGTACAGAAAGGAAGCACCTGGAATGATATATGACACATAATAGACACTCAGTAATGTAAAATTGAAATGTAAATAAAGCACAGAAAGGAGGCCCAGGGGGCTGGGTCATCTGGAGTTAGGGGGAGGCCACGAGATGACACAGGACAAACCCCATGAGCTTCTCAGGTATGAAGCCCCATTTCCAGACTTTCTCAATCAAGCCGTGGTCTTACTCTCATCCAGAAGGGCCCCCCATTCTTAAGCATCTCTCTCCTCCACTAGGCAGATGGCTCTTGCCTACGTCACAGCCACAACCACTGCAGTGACCACTGCTGTGAGCATGAACATGTTGACAAAGGTACTTCTGGGATTGCTGTGGGCATGGTAGCCACTAGGGGGCAGCAAAGTCCTAGGGAGAACTAGGCATTTCCCCAGTCTGGGTGAGTTGGGGTATAACCAGAGCCCAGCCAAGTAGTGGGGAATGCAGCAGGGCTGTCCCCAGGTTGGTCTTTCTCAGGCCTCTGAGGGAGTTTGGGTTCCCAGATGGATGTCTGGGTGTGTGGGAGTAGCCCTTGTTTTGTAGTCCATAAGTCAGTCCCTTTACCCTCATCTTACAGCGAGCCTCAGCAACTCCCATTGTTCCCTTTCTCCAACAGAAAGCTCCACCCTTGGTGGCCCGCTGGGTGCCCTTTGCTGCTGTAGCTGCTGCTAACTGTGTCAATATCCCAATGATGCGACAGCAGTGAGTACAGGGGTCCCTTTCCCTCCTTACAAGCCACAAGGCCAGCAGGGAAACCAAGGCAAGAGACCCGGCTTCTTGGAGCCGGGGTGGATGTGGGGGGAGGCTGGCCTCAGAAGAGTCCCCGAGGATTGACTGCTCCAGTAGTGAAGGCCAGTCCAATAGAGTGGCGGGTGATTTAGGTATAATCTGTGATGGGTACGTGGGAGTCATTTTTTGGATGGTGTGGGATGGAGACTTAAGGGGAGCCTGTGGGTTTTATACTCAATCATGTCCTTCCAACTGCAGCTGTATTTAAGTGTGAGCGCTGCCTTCTTCCAAAGCCCTGGGGATGGTTTACACTGCACATGTGTCAAACACAAGGCCCGCGGGCCAAATCCGTCCCGCCAGGCCTTGCAATGTGGCCCGCACTGCGCTGTCATCACTGCACTCCACTGCGTTTCCATCACAATGACAGTTTATGACTGTTCAGTAAACCATTCGGCCCGCGATTTAGGCTGGATTTTAGATTTTGGCCCCTTCTCTGATTGAGTTCGACACCCCTAGTTTACAGGATGAAATGCAGCAGAGTGAGGTGTCCATAGGAAGAACAGGGCCAAGAAGCTTTGAAAGAAGCCCGTGGAGTTAGATAGATGTTTTCCAGGTACCGGGCTCTAAGAATAGGTAAAAGGAGAAACCTGTTGTGTCTCAGTTCTTATTTCTTGACTAGAGAAAGCATAGATGTTCCTCTGTTATAACACTGAATGATGTAATATATGTCAAGTCCTCAAAATAGCACCTAGAAAATAACAAGTGCTATATAAATGTTAACTTTTTAAGAAATATATATTTTATTGACTTTTTAAAGAGAGGAAGGGAGAGGGAAAGAGAGTCAGAAACGTTGATGAGAGAGAAACATCAATCAGCTGCCTCCTGCACACTCCCCACTGGAGATATGCCTGCAACCAAGACACATGTCCCCAACTGGAATCGAACCTGGGACCCTTCAGTCCGCAGGCTGATGCTCTATTTACTGAGCCAAACCGGTTAGGGCTAAATGTTAGCTTTTATTGCTATTGTTGTCGGCATTGCCTTCATCATCATCACCAATTTCTACAGCCACATTTTCTTAGAAGTGTTAGTAAATGGGAATGCATCACACTTGCCCAGAGCACACTACTGGAATAGTCGTGCATACACATTGCTCCTCTCCTCTCTCCCTTCCCCATCCAGTTGCTACTTTCCATCAAACGAATAAGCCCCAGCCACCTACCATGTTTTGGGTTGAGTGCTGTCAAGAACTGGCCTGAGAATAAAAACCAGAGCAGCTACTGTTTGTGGTGCAGTCTCTCCGTGTCAGTCACCGGACTAAGCACTTTGCAGGCATTATCCTGTTAAAACACTGAGTCCTAGGAAGTGGGTGTCAGGATTGTCTCCATTTTGCAGTTGAGGACAACTGAGTCTGTAGAAGGACTAGGGAAGTTGCTCATTAGGGAAGACACGCTCTGCAGTTTCAGGGCTCAACCTAGGCAGTCCGGGCTCAGGACTGGCTCTCCTAACCAATGCCCTAGATCACTTCAGATTCCACTCACTGGAGTGCAGAGGAAGGTCACAGGGCAAGGCTACGGAGGTGGCTCCCCAGAGCTTGAGTGCCCTGGCCGTAGTCCCCTGGTGTGTCACATTGTTGGCAGACTTCCAGCACCCCTTCCCCATATCCAGCATCTCCTGTCTGTGTCTAGGGAACTCATCCACGGCATCTCTGTGAAGGACAAAAATCACAATGAGATGGGTCATTCCCGGGTGAGCAGAGGTCCTCCCTTTGGGTGGGAGGAGGGAACTCCCTTTCATACCCTTTCCTGTTCTTAGGGGTCCGAGCAGGCGTGGGCTCCATTATAGGACCTCCCCGACTCCACTCTCATTCTCCTCAGTTTCTCCCACGTTTCTCTGTTTGGGACATTTCTCATGTCCTTTTTGCATCATTTCTAGTCCTAAAGCTGGCTGGGTTGGTGAAGGTTGGGAGAAGTCACTCAAGCCCTGGCAGGTCCATCGCTTCCCCATTCCCAACTCAAGCTTGGCTGTGACCCTGACTCTGACCCTGACTGTGGCCCAGTCATGGATACTGGATAAGGTCATTCCTAACAGCTTGCTCTTCTTTGCCCTCAGAGAGCTGCGGCCATAGGCATCACTCAAGTGGTAATTTCTCGGATCACCATGGCAGCCCCTGGCATGAGTAAGATGGGGAAGGCTTCCCCTCTGGGGGGTCCCTGGAGCACACGATAGAGGCCTCAGCCACACTCAGCTTTTGGGTGGGAGGTGGAATCCCAGCTTCTATAGCGAAACTTCTCTTACCGGTTTGCTTGAGCGCTGAGAGCCACAGGAATACCACACTGTAGTTCTTGGAACATCAATTGATGAGACATTTTAAAATATATTTTATTGATTTTTTTACAGAGAGGAAGGGAGAGAGATAGAGAGCTAGAAACGTTGTCAATGAGAGAGAAACATCGACCAGCTGCCTCTTGCACACCCCTCACCAGGGATGTACCCGCAACCAGCGTACATGCCCTTGACCGGAATCGAACCTGGGACCTTTCAGTCCGCAGACCGATGCTCTACCACTGAGCCAACCAGTTTTGGCTTGATGAGACATTTTAAGTTATTTTTATTCAGCACATATTTCTTAAGTGTCTTCAATGTACTGGACACAGTGTGGGGTGCTGGGGAGACAGTGATAGCAAAAATAAACCCCCTGCCCTCGTTGTGCTTCCAGCAGGGGCAGGTTACAGAGTAAGATAAAAAGGCTGTCTACATGAGCTTTCAGAGGTAGTTTGAGTCCTGAGGACACTTTGGGCCTGGGGCACATGTTCTGTGATTGCAGGAGTGCTTGGGGAAGCAGCCTCCTGCTGGGACTCGGGGGCCAAGTCAGAGTGGCCATGCCTACAGTCCGCCATTCTCCCAAATGAAAAGTATTTTCTGGAACTTCTGTGGGAGGAGGGAGAATCATTCAGTCCCTGATCTAACTCCGGAAAGGGGTCTTAGGGATAGTCCTACAGGTCCCCCCAGCTTCTCCCTGGTTTCTTTCAGTCTTGTTGCCAATCGTCATGGAAAGGCTAGAGAAACTGCGCTTCATGCAGGTGAGTGGGGTTACCTTTTGCCTCTTCCCTGCCCAGCGTCTTCCCACCACACCTGTGCCTGGGAGCTCCTGACCCTCTCATCCTTCCCTCTAGCTTCCAGTCTTCATCTCACGGAAGTAGGGCTCATCAGACCAGTCCCCCCTGGCTGCCCGCTTCAGACAGCATAGCCGGTTGCTCGGCCTTGTCTACAGAGAGCAAGGAGAGCCCTTGTTCTTTCGCTCAGGGCCAGCAGTCTTATATCTGCGGCTGGTTGTTCGCAGGGCAGGCGAGGGGTTCACCTTAAGGTATATAAGCCCCATGTGGGTTTTCCTGTTGTTTGTTTTTGTGCAGAAAGTCAAGGTCCTGCATGCACCGTTGCAGGTTATGCTGTGTGGCTGCTTGTGAGTAGCACGTTTTCTTGGTTTGGGTTCTGCGGTGGCTGGGGCACCAAGATCTGTCTTATGTCACCTGTGTTGAAAAACACGTCCTCCTTTGCCTGACTTCCACAGTGCTGGAGCTCAGTACATCTGTGATCCATCTAGAGAGCTCTCACCTCATCTTTTTGGAGGAAACCAGGCTAGCAAGGCTCTGTGCACACAGTCGCATGGGAGGCAGAGTGCTTGGGTACCCTCCTGTCCCAGGGTCTTCCCTCTGACCTTACGTCTGGAGAAGAGACAAAAACGATGAGACACATGGGAGATATCTGTAATACTATCAGCAATAAAAACTGTATTTCAAAGGAAAAATTTAAAAAAAAGATGAGACAGTCCCACCATGAAAAAGAAGTGATAGTGATGTGACAGAGGTGTTAGCTAACACTCAGATCATTGTGTTACGATATGTGAATGTATCAAATCAACATTTTAAACTTCCACATTGTTATATGTGTCGATTATATCTCAATAAGATAAATAAATAGATAAAATACACAAAGAGACAAAAATATGAGACAGCCCGGGGCTGTCAAGTATCTCAACCTCACACAGGAGGAAAACACATCATGGCAGCATTATCAACTGGACATGCCCTACCATTAATCATGATGCCTCACAGGACTACAGCGCTAGTGGCAGCAACAACAACTGACAATTATTGAATGTGCCCCCTGTGCTAATGCTGCACATCTATAATTTCACTTACTCTCCTCAGCCCTAGAGGCATAGATGCCCTCATCTTCTTTTACAAAAGAAGAAACTAAGGCTCAGAGCAATGAAGACACTTGCCCAATTGCTGGAGCTGAGATTGGTCCTTGGCAGACATGCTGTACTTCTGTTTATTGAATTACTTCTTCTGTTCATTGAATGGACACTTGCCATAGGTTGGGCGCTGTATATAAGTCATTATCTCATTGAATCCTCACAGTGATGCTGCAAAGTAGACACTCTGATCCTCCCTCTGCTGGCCCTGAGATAACATGCCCCAGACGGTACCACTTTTAAGTGTCAAAGCTATGATAGGAACTCAGGTCCATGACTCTCAAATCTTGTAAGACATGGTCCTGGAACTGCATCGTCTGAAATCTTGTTAGAAGTAAAGACTCGCAAGCATTTCCCGAGACCTACTGATCAGCATCCCATTTTCATAAGCCCTGGTATGCACATTGAAGTTTGATGGACCCTGGCCTTTACTGTTCTCCAACAGTCCAGATGCTCAGTGAAGAGAGGAGCAGGATCTTTGGATTCACACCCCTCGCTGCTTTCCCTGCATGTCAGTGGATGCATGTGGTCTTTAGGGCTGCTGCTTACACTCCCTAGTGACTTCATGTGCTTGAACAACAGGGGTGAATTGGGGTAAGGGATGAGGGATGGAGGCTGGCTGATTTTAGTACGTACTAGAATGAGCATCCTGGCACCAAGAGACCAGGAGAAGGGTTGAAGGGAGAGGAGTTATGGAACCAGATGGGAGGCCAAGTGAATGGGCATCTGCCCTATCCTTTAGGAGGCTCAGGCATGTGGGAGGGCCTGTGGGGAAATGCCCCCTAATGCTTTGGTTTCTCCTTTTTTTCCAGCCTCATCTTCATGGTGCCAGTGGCATGTGGACTCTTCCCACAGATATGGTATCAGTCATTCAATCCTTACTTTGTTTTACCAAATGTCCTGTCCCTATTCTCCCTGCCCTGCTTGCTGTCCAGAAGGAGAGAGGGAGGGGCAAGAAGGGCAGCATTTGTCCAGGGACAAGTGCCTCTCAGCCTAAACTCTGGCCCTCTTAACCCTGCGTGAATGGTAAGCCAGAACACGTCTCCAATGGGATGAAGTGCTTCCTCCCAGTGCAACAAGGGCTGCCTTGGAGAGAAAGTGGCGGAACAACAAGAGACTCTGTCCTGCTGGTTGGGTTATTAGTGAATCTCCCCTGGCTGGATCCAGTCTTTGAATTTGAACAAGGGGACAGGTCCTTATCATGGCTCTTATTTGCCAGAGGGTGGATGACTTGAACCTCTTCACTCCCCTTGCGTGTCATGGAAGGGCAGCATCAGATGGATGGGAGGAAGGACTGGTTCCAGGAGACCGGGTATGAATACATACCTGGAATGTATACCGAGGAGATGCCACTCTCCCCTCTCTTAGTGCTCTTAGCTCAGTGGTCATCTGTTAGATGTCTCCTGTGTTCCGAGCACTGTGCCTGTAATCTTGTGGAGAAGGTGGAAGTTGAGCACCAGGGAGAAGGAAGACAGGCTTGAGTAGAGGTAAAAGCAACATATTGTGGGTGTACAGCAGCTACTACTAATTCTGAAGGAAAAAATGGGGAAGGGGCTTCTTAGAGCAGGTATTTGCGTTGAGCTTTATCTAAGGGTAATTTGCTGCTGTGGCATACTCATAACCATCTTCTCTCTTCTCAGTGAATTGCCAGTTTCCTACCTGGAACAGGAGCTCCAAGACACCATCAAGGCCAAGTATGGAGAACACGTGCCTTCTGTCTACTTCAATAAGGGTCTCTAAATGTCCCACCTCAGCAAGGACAGGTCTATCCCAATATTCACCAGCTCCTCCTCAGCTGCCTGTGCCCTCATTCCTCTTTGCCAACAGGGCCTAAGACTAGGGTGTATTTGGGGGTGTATGAGGCAGCAGAATTCCTCATGCTTATACCCAGGCACTTGGTTTATTGGGCTCCAGGGGATGGAAGTGAACAAGGGGAGGAAGACCAAATTCTCTTTCTGCTTCCCCTTTCATCCCATGGAAACCAGGAGCTGAGGCCCCCTCAGGGGGGAGTTGCTGGGACCTGAGGGGGACATTCAGCAAACCGATTGGAAAAATTAGGAAAACTTTGGGACTCTGGTTCCAGCCAGGATTGGGAAGAACCTCTGGGACAAAGAGAAGTTCCTACTCTTCTTTCCTCTTCCTTCTGTGTCATCTTCTCTTAAGCTATGAAACCTTTACCCTTGTAATTCTAGTTAATGCAGGAAGTATGTGGGGGGGGGGGAGGGGTAATCTGTGTCACTCTGGGGCTCATCTCCTCTCTCAGAAAGGTTCTTTGGGAGTGCTGCTAACCTTGAGTTTTATCAGGAACGTGGGAGTTCTTAGTGCTGAAAAGAGGTCATTGTGTGAGGCAGCAGAGTTCTGTGGTGCTCAAGCTCAGTCTATTGATACTTTGTTCTGCTCTAAAATCATGTCTGATTTCACTTCTGTGTTTTGTTGTTGTTTTTTTAAACCTTTTTAAAATATATATATATTTTATTGGTTTTTTACAGAGGAAGAGAGAGGGATAGAGAGTTAGAAATATCAGAGAGAGAAACATCGATCAGCTGCCTCTTGCACACCCCACACTGGGGATGTGCCCGCAACCAAGGTACATGCCCTTGACCGGAATCGAACCTGGGACCTTTCAGTCCGCAGACCAACACTCTAGCCACTGAGCCAAACCGGTTTCGGCTCACTTCTGTGTTTAAAAGATAATTCTGCTCGGCCTGTGTGGCTCAGTGGTTGAGCATTAACCTATGAACCAGGAGGTCACAGTTTGACTCCTGGTCAGGGCACATGCCTCGGTTGCGGGTTCGATCCTCAGGAACTATCCTATAGGAGGCAGCCTGTCAATGATTCGCTCTAATCATTGATGTTTCTATCTCTCCCTCTCCCTTCCTCTCTGAAATGAATAACTCACACACACACACGCACGCACGCACGTACACACGCACACGTACACATATATAGAGAGATCTAGAATGGCTGTGCCTTTGGTCACCTTGAAAAGAAAAAAAAGATAATTGTAACTGTGAGTATAGAGGATGTATGTAGGCATCAACCACACACTGTAATGGGTATAATTTTCTGGCTACCTCCCTTCTTCAGCCCATTAGGTTAAATACCAAAGACTGGTGTGTACTGACTAGGAAAGGGAAGCTTTATTTGGACGCCTGTAAGAGAAAACTAGCAGGACCAAAGAGCCTTCAAGGACACATAGCAAACCACAGTCACTTGTCCTTCCCATCTTGGCTGCTGTAGGCGATTTCTTACGCTCCTTGGGGGACTATTGTGGCATACCTGGGGTCAATGTCTGTGTAAGCTTTGTCTAGTAGAATTTACTGACTGTTCAACGGTACCACTATGAATAAATTTCTTAAAAGCACAATGGACTGTCTGTAGCCTGAGTTAATAACACCTGGATGGAAAATAGGACCTGGACTTTGGCCTTGTCATGGAGGGAGGGGAATATCTTTCAGGGGAACCTACCTGTCTGAAGCCCGGAAGCCATTGTCCATTTACCTTGTTACAAGGGAAAAATCCACCTGTCTTTGCTGGAAGCTCCAGAGATCTCCCAGAACAGGAGCTGTGTTGCCTCAGAGCAGGAGTTGCAAACCATGGCTCAAGGCTTTAAAGGGTTGTAAAAAGGAAGAAAAGGATATATGACAGAAACTCAATGTATGTAACATGCAAAACCTAGAATATTTACTCTCTGGTCTAGGGGTGTCGAACTCAGTCAGAGAAGGGGCCAAAATCTAAAATCCAGCCTAAATCGCGGGCCGAATGGTTTACTGAACAGTCATAAACTGTCATTGTGATGGAAACGCAGCGGAGTGCAGTGATGACAGCGCGGTGCGGGCCACATTGCAAGGCCTGACGGGACGGATTTGGCCCGAGGGCCTTGTGTTTGACACATGTGCTCTGGTCCTTTACTCTGGAAAAATAGCTCTTAAAAAATGCATCAGGAGCACCTGTTAAAACAGATCGAATGGCTTCCTCTTCCAGGATTTCTAATTATGTGGGTCTGGGGCAGACCCTCAGAATTCACATTTCTGGTAATTTTCCAGTGATGATTCTACATACTACACTTGAAGGACCATTGCTCTAATGAGAAGGGCCTCCATTCTGCAGTCACAATACTGGCTGCAATTTAATTTTTTCCTCCATTAAAAAAAATTAAAATGTAATCCATATAATATAAATTCATCCTATTAAAGTGTACAAATTAGTGATTTGTAGTAGACTCAACAGAGCTGTACAACCGTAATCATGATCTAATACCAGAACTTTTTCATTACACCCAAAAGAAACTATGAATTAAGTCACTCCTCTCATTCTCCAGCCATAACCCTTCACAATCCCTAATCTATTTTGTCTCTAGTTTTGCCTGTTCTGGACATTTCATATAAATGAAATCACATAGTGTGTGGCTGTCTGTATCTGGCTTCTTTCACTTAGTATAATGTTTTCAAAGTTCATGTTATAATATTGAATTTGATTTTAGCTGATGTCGGAGCAGAAAGAAAAGGTCTGTGTCTGTGAGCTAGTTTTCTTAGGATAGCGATTTGACTTCAGCTTTGCCAACTTCCAAAGACAAACAGGGAAATCCTTACCAAAGCTCAGAAGCAGTTTGACATTGATGTTCTTTCAATAACCAACCACCTTTCCCTTCCCTTCCAAGTTTTGTAAGCCTCCTGGCATTCCTCTTCTCTTCACAGATGATTACTCTTCGGAAAAGTCTGGAGTATGTAGTGGCTACAGTTCAAAGGTACTCTGGAAAGCATTCAGACTGCATTTCAGCTCCATCTTGTAAGGCCTCTGCTTTCTTTCAGTTGGCTCTTGTCGGGGTGTGGAAATAAAGTTGGTTAGAGTGACTAAAATGTCTTGGTGTGGGAAGTGCTAATCCAGACTAAGTGTTTGTCCTGTCCAGTAGCTCAGTTTGAGCTCTCAGGTAAAGGGAGAAAGGGAAGTTGGGACAGAATCCTGTCTGCCAAATTGAAGCCTTTGGGGTTTCCCAATGATGAGAATATCTGACCTTTATATGGCCTCTGTAATTCTTTGATGCCAAGATTAAGACCCTCTATGAAAATAATTGGGCTCTTGCTTAGTATTCAATTTTAAAAAAAAATTTACATAAATTTCCTTTTTCTTCTATTGACTTCTCTCCCCGGCTGCCCCTAACCCCCAGCACATACCCTCACCCCCACACCCTGTCTGTGTCCATTGGTTATGCTCATATGTATGCATAAAAGTTCTGTGTTGATCTCATCCCCTCACCTCCCATCTTCCCTCATAGGTTAGACAGTCTGTTCGATGCTTCTATGACTCTGGTTCTATTTTTGTTCATCAGTTATGTTGTTCATTATTTTCCACAAATGAGTGAGATAATGTGATATTTATCTTTCTCTGACTGGCTTATTTTGCTTAGCATAATGCTGCCCAAGTCCATCATGCTGTTGCAAATGGTAAGAGTTCTGTCTTTTTTATAGGAGTAATATTCCATTGTGTAGCTGTACCAGTTTTTTTTTTTAATATTTCTTTATTGATTTCAGAGAGGAAGGGAGAGGGAGGGAGAGGTAGAAACATCAATGATCAGAATCATTGATTGGCTGCCTCTTGAACATCCCCTACTGGGGATTGAGCCCACAACCCGGGCATGTGCCATTGGCCAGAATTGAACCTGGGACCTTCAGTCTGCAGGCCGACACTCTATCCACTGAGCCAAACCAACTGGCTAGGGCAATGTACCACAGTTTTCTAATTCACTCATTTGCTGATGGGGCTTAGGCTGTTTCCCAATCTAGCTATTATAATTTGTGCTGCTATGAACATAGGGTGCATATATCCTTTCTGATTGATGTTCCTGGTTTCTACTAGGTCAAATGGAAGTTCCATTTTTAATTTTTTGAGGGAATGCCATACTGTTTTTCACAGTGGCTGCACCAGTTTGCATTCCCATCAGCAATGCAAGAGGATTCCTTTTTCTCCACATCCTTGCCAGCATTTGTTTGTTGATTTATTGATGATAGCCAATCTGACAGGTGTGGGATGGTACCTCCTTGTTTTGATTTGCATCTCTTGTATGATTAGTGATTTTGAGCATATTTTCATGTCTCAGTACTCAGTCTTTATTTATACCCTATGGAGCTTGATTGTGGAGTAGATAAATTTCTAAGAAACTTGAAATGGAGAAAAATACTTGTCACCTTTTGCAGCACTTGGGAAAGCAGGAGCAAGACAGAGGTAGAACTATGGACATTCTTATATTGGGGCAAAACCTGTTTCCCACTTTGCCACCACTTAAGCCAAGAATGAACTCCCTGTGGGCTCAGGCATAGGCCGGATTGGGCCAGGCTGTATAATGCTTTGAGAGGAAATTTACAGCCGCAGGTAATTGGTTTCTCTGTCATGGGTCTTCATTTCACTTCACTACCACTTATTAAGTTCATAGTTAGGTCCTATACAGGATATTGTAGGGATTTCTTAAGAAATGAGTAAGACTTGGTGTGCTGTATAAAAAGCTGCAAATTTGCTCCAGCTGGCTTGGTTCAGTGGCTAGAGTGTCAGCCTTTGGACTGAAGGGTCCAAGGTTCAATTCCAGTCAAGGGCATGTACCTTGGTTGCAGGCATATCCCCAGTAGGGGGTGTACAGGAGGCAGCTGGTCGATGTTTCTCTCTCATCGATGTTTCTAACTCTCTATTCCTCTCCCTTCCTCTCTGTAAAAAATCAATAAAATATATATTTTTAAAAATAAGTAAAAAGCTGCACATTTAGTAAGAGGGGTCAGCCAGTCAGATGCAGATTAGATACACTGAGGGAGGAGTGTAATGTGAATCCAGAAGAAGAAAGGGGGGGAACTAGGAGTTTGTATGTGTAACGTGTAAATGATGTTAAGTGTATTAGGTAACACAGCACACTGAGGATCTCCTAAGTGTATACAGTGTGAGCAGAATGTGTGGGTGGCAGTGGAGATAAAGAGAAGTATGCAGGAATCAGGACACAAGACCATATTAAGAAGTTTGGACTATATATCTTGTAGGTAGTTTATTTATTTATTTATTTATTTATTTTTTTTGGGGGGGCACTTTAATCCTCACCCAAGGATATTTTTTCATCGATTTTTAGAGTGAATGGAAGGGAAGGGCCAGAGACAGAGAAACATCGATGTGAGAGAGACACATTGATTAATTGTCTCCCTACAATCCGAGGTAGGCACCCTTGGCCAGAATCAAACCTGGGACCCTTCAGTCCACTGGCCGATGCTCTATCCACTAAGGAAAAGCCATGAGACAAACACGGTGTTGTGTGTGTGTGTGTGTGGTGGGGGTGGTGGTAGTGGTGAGGGGGTTATGAGCGTGGGGTGGGATAGTAGAGCACCCTTGTTGTGTGTGGTGTGTGAAAGGAGACCATTTGTGTTTAGCCAGGAAGAGGAGAATATGGGTTAAAGCCTTTGGTGTGGACTTCAGAGCTATTTTTGTAGCAGAGTGACTAGAATTTTGCCCCAGGAACTTGTGGTGACGAAGCACTGTGCCTCAGCTAAAGGCATGTCTCCTAGGAACTACAAGTTGCCCTATTGCTTGGCCAGTTTGAAACCAGCAGAGGGACCCTGGTACTGAGACTGTGCTTCAAGACAAAAAATATCAAACAATTTTTAGATTGCAGTTGTTATATTCTTTAGGAGCACCTGGCTACCTTCTTAAAAAAATAACATTTGCCAACACCATTTCGAATCATCATGCTCCTTCTCTTTCTTGGCTGAACTGTGGCAACCTAGTACTTCCGCCACACTCAAGATGGCCACATCCGAATGCGACTGTTCAATACCACGCGTTCGAGGAGGCCCCGCCCCCCGACCGGAGCGACTCCTGACACTCCTCCTCCACACCGGCTGGCAGCACCCAAGATGGCCCAGCTTCCTCCTACTTTCCATTGGCTGGCTCCGCCGGTTTTCCGCCTCCGTGGGGCGGGACTTCAGTGGGGGCGGGACTTCGGTTTGATCGATAGCCATTTGGACGAATGGACGGAGGGCACGGGCCAATGAGGCGCCGGTACCGGAGAACCTCCCCGGTGTTTGGGGGCGGGGTGTTTTGGCCGGGGTGGAGTAGAGCCGGAAGCGGGAGGGGGCGGGGGGAGAGAGTGAAACAGGAAAAGAAGGGAAGAAGGAAGAAGAGGGAAGAGGTGGAGAGGGAAGAGGAGGAGGGTGGTGGCGGCGCCGTGGCGGAGGAGCAGGAGCAGGAGGGGGATGGAGAGGAGAAGGCTCCTGGGTGGCATGGCGCTCCTGCTCCTCCAGGCGCTGCCCAGCCCCCTGTCAGCCGGGGCGGAACCCCCGCAGGTAAGGGGGAGGGGGCGTCCGGGCCCGGCGGGGAGCCTGGGGGTCGTTGAGGCCTGGGCTGGGGGAGGCTTGAGGCGGCCTCGCTGCTAGCTGGAGGGGGCTGAAGAGTGTGGCTGCCAAGAGTTGAGGGGTCCCCAGGGGGACACCTGGGGGTGGAGTGGACAGGACCTAAGGGGGCGTCGGTGTGCAGCTGAGGGACACCTGTTTTGGTTTCTGGGAGGTTGGCAGGGGCATGGTGCCAGGCGAGTGCGGGCCTCTGAGACGGCTGTTAGGTCAGGTGGGCTGGGATGCCTGTGACTGGGGAGTGGTGCCAAGCTGGGGCGTGTGGGGTGCATTCGTGTTCCCCGTGGAGCAAGTTCCAAGCAGCGGTGCCGCGTGTACGTCCGTGCGGGTGCAGGTCGGGCCCGTGGGCTCCCGAGCTGGCCTGAGGGAGGAGCGGCTGGGAGGATATTTATCTCAGGCTGGAGCAGGGGCATGTTCTGAGGGCACCATTTTTAATAGTGCTGGAGTTAAGGGGTTGGAGGAAGGACTCTTGGAAGGCAGGTGGGATGAGGTGGGGGGGGGGGCGCACTTGAGATCTCAGAAGCTTTTGCTGTTAGGCTGGCCGGCCTGCGAGAGCCGGGCGCTGACGCTGATCTGGGCTAGCCTAAGGCTTTTGAGCAAACGGATGTGCCGATGCCAATAGGGGCAGCAAGTGGAGCACCCTGAGTGGAGCTTTTCTTGCTAGGTGGCTTGCTTTTTATTTAGGCAGAGAAGCTGGCTTGTATGGATTCCAGCTCCGGCTGGCATTTCGAAACCTTAATGGGAGCATTACTCCTAATGCCAAGTTGGGTGGGGTGCACCAGGGGTAATGACCCCTCCTTTCCTTGCGTTTGGCAAGGCTTTCCCATTCTGTTTTTTTTCTTCACTTTCCGTTCCCTTCCCTGTCTTTGCAGACAGACAGACAGGCAGACAGACACACACACACACACACACACACACACACACACACACACACGATGGCAGAATCTATACAGCCTAGTACTTGAAACCTTGCGTTGTGATCAAGAGTAGCAGCTGAGTCCCAGCAAAAAAATACTTACCTTTTCCCTGAGGAGTTCATGGGCTGCCTAGTTACATACTGTATGCATCTTTGTTTTGTCCATTAGTATTCTTTATTTTAAAGATTAAGTGGGGTGAAATTCACATTTAAAACCATTTAACCATTTTAAAGTGAAAAATCCAGTGGCATTCAGTATATTAACAAGGTTGTGCAACCACCACTCTATCTAGTTTTAAAACTTCCCAAAAGAAACCCCTCTTCCCATTAAGCAGTTCCCCCCTGTTCCCCACTTTCTCCATCCCAGGCAACCACCAATATGCTTTCTGTCTCTTATGTGTCCACCTATTAAGAATATTTCATATAAATGCAGTTCTACAGTGTGGCCTTTTGTGTCTGGGTTCTTCCCTTAGCACAACGTTTTCCAGATTCGTCCGTGTTGTAGCATGAACCAGTACCTAGTTATTTTTTATGGCTGTGTAATACTCCACTGTATGGCTATACCACAGTCTGCTTATACATTTATCGATTGACGTGTCCTGTTTCCCCCCACCCCCCTTCAGAGTATATTTATGTATATTAGAAATAACATGTGAATGTAATAGAGCTCACTTTCTGGGCCAGTATATTCCCTTTTCTAAGTCTGAACTCTTTCGTTTTAGGCTTTGTTGGGGCTCTTTATTTTCCCAGTTAAAATCAAACCAGCAGGAGAAATCAATTTTCTATGTCCATTCAAAAGTCACCACCATTTGGACTGGTAAAATTAAGTATAAATGCTGACAGAACAAAACATAGAACAAACTGTTGTTTTCCCTTTGCACCTGTCTACTTCTGTCTGTCTAAAGGGTGTTTCCAGTTACCAGTGAAGAACTAGCCTTGCTAAAGGGTTGATTGAGGAATGTTGAGCCTCCGGAGGTGGGTGCCCAGAGTCTGTGGACTGCCTCGCTCTCTTGGAGGGGAGTGGTAGACCTCAGAGTCAGTGGTGGGAAACATCCCTTTCTTTAGTGGGAGGAAGGATGGCAAGTGGAGCTTCCTTACCATGTCATGCAAGCCTGGGAGAAAATGTGGGACAGGATCTTCAGTGTCATGTCCTAAGAGCAGTTTGTTGAGCACAGGCTATTTTCTTATCATGTTTCTGGCACTTCCAATACTTACTTTGGGGACAGGGTGGCTTTTGTACTTTGTTCCATTTGGATGGATGCACTGACCTGCAGCCATTATGTGGTTACAGTTCCTGCAGAGAAGGGAAGGTTTTTGGAATGAGTAGTCTCCCTCTTCCTGACCCCTTTCCTCCTGTCTCTTTGTCAGGGAATACTGTATATCTGTCGTGAGATTTGTATTTTGAATCTTTAACTTTTGGAATGGGAGCTATTATATAATTATTAACTCGGAATCCACCACAGGTTAGCCAGTTTGGTTTTTGTTCGTTTTTGGTTTGTGGAAATCAGGAAAGAAAAAAATTCAGGTACGCACTGTCCTTATTTCAACAGGTGACTTTCAGCTAACCCTGAATTGAGGACTCTCCACACTCCTTGTTGAAATGGCTCTATTAAGTACAACTTTCCCCCCCCCTTATGTATTTAATATACGAAAAACATGATATTTAGGTGCTTCCCTCTTAATAGCTCTGAAAGAATTTCTTGCTATCCTGGCCCAGAAAAGTTCATTAGCTTAGCTCACTTCTGTGGTTAGGAACTTAGACTTAACTCACCTATAGGTTATGAGGCAATTCCGTTATGAGTCCTTGAATCCATAGAGAATAAAAAAACAACAACAAAACCCCCCCCAAAAAAAACCCAGTAAGGTCTCTAAATAGTAAGGCCTTGGCATTTGTCTCTTCCAGTTGAATTATGATTGAGATAACATAGATTTCTTTTTTATCTTTTTGATTGGGCTTAACCAGGAAAACCTGGCTATAGATCTAAAATAAAGATTTAGTAAAGAAGTCTTTTTCCATGAAGTGACTCAACCAGTGGCTTGAGATGCGGTCATTCCTTCTCCTCTGCCATGCTTAAATCTTTGAATTGGATGGGGGCCCTCGTCCCTGCAGTTTTTCCCCAGCTCTCAATGGAATACCCATTGGCCCCTAATTCCCTCCTTTACTCACCTACATTGCCCCAGTTTTCAGTCCAGAAGGCTTTCTTTCTTAAAAATGGCATTTCAGTACAATCACCAACACTCCTCGTAGAATAATGGGATAGGAGACTTCAGATTCAAATCCTCTTCCTTCATTTTTGAAGTCTGTTTTAAAATATATTTTATTGATTTTTTACAGAGAGGAAGGGAGAGAGATAGAGAGTTAGAAACATCGGTGAGAGAGAGTCATCGATCAGCTGCCTCTTGCACACCCCCTACTGGGGATATGCCCGCAACCAAGGTACATGCCTTGATCGGAATTGAACCCGGGACCCTTCAGTCCCCAAGCCGACGCTCTATCCATTGAACCAAACCGGTTTCGGCTTGAAGTCTGTTTTACACACCAAAGTGAACAATGTTGAAAACCAATACCTTGAGTTTCTGTAAATCCCTTTAGTAGAATTCAGCAACATATACCGAAATGTCTACTCTGCAGCAGGCTATTATTATTGCTAGGCATTGGGAACCCTCAAATAAGTAACAGATTCCCTGTCCTCAAGGAGCTGGTCATCTTGTGGGAAAGACAGATAGCACACACAACGATTTGTAATCCAGAGGGATCAATGAAGTGCAAAGGCCAGCGGGAGCAACTGGTTCTGCTAGGGCCAGGGGAAGGTGGGCGTTAGGGAAGAGGCATTTGGATGTGCTCTGAAGGATGAAGGATAGGTGGAATGTCTGTAGACCAAGAGGGGGGAGAAAATGGAGCATGCATGTGGAGGAGGCATCTTCCTATGGAGACGGACTCTTCCTATGTGGGTGTGAGAAGAGGCGTGTGAAAGTAGTGAGACTTGAAAAATAGTTAGATGGTAAAGGAGGCCTTTGACCCATTCATTGATGCAGTGCTTATCCAGTAGAATGTTCTGTGATGTTGGAGGAAATGATCTTTCTGCACTGTTCATTTTGGTAGCCACCTACCCACGTGTGGCTCTTGCGTATTTGAAAGGTGGCTAGGATAACTGAGGAACTGAGTGTTTAATGACATTTAGTTTTTTATATCAACTTTCTTGAGATATAATTAACATGTCAAAAGATTCATGCTTTTAAAGTGTACATAAAATGCCTTTTTATAAGTTACAGAGTTGTGTGACCATTACCACTATCTAATTTTAGGACAGTTTCAATCACCCCATAAAGAAGCCTCATAGCCATTAGCAGTCTCTCTCCTTTTGACACCCTCCTCCCCCAGCCCCTGCCGACCGCTGATCTACTTCTATCTCTATGGATTTGCCTATTCTGGACAGTCCATATAAATGCAGTTATACACTTATGTGGTCTTTTATGACTGGCTTTCACTTAGCATAATGTTCTTAAGATTCATCAATGTTGACAGATCAGTTTATTATCACATATATCAGTATATTATTTCTTTTGTTAACATTCAGTTGTATGAATTATTTCTTAACATTCAGTTGTATGAATATACCACATTTTATTTATTCATTCCTAAATTGACGGCCATTTAGGCTGTTTCCAGTTCTGGGTTATTATGAATAATGCTGTTGTGAACATGCGTGTACAAGTTTTTGTGTAGACATATGTTTTCATTTCTCCTGGGTATGTATGGAATTGCTGGGTCATATGGTAACTCTATATGTAATCTTTTGAAGAACTGCCAAACTGTTTTCCAAAGTGGTATGATATTTATTTTAATTAATTTAAATGAAATAGCTACATGTGGCTACTGACTACATATTAGACAATGCAAGTCTAACAGCTTTCCAATGAGGGCCTGGGGTATAGTCTAACACAGTGGTGAGGTCATGAGCTCTGGAGGCAGCCCACCTGAGTTCCAAGCCTGACTCTTCTACTTAACTATCCTTTGAGCAAATTACCTAACCTCTTTGTGCCTTAGTTTCCCCATCTGTAAAATGGGAGTAATAAGTAAATAAACCTAGTGGGTTTGTCCTGAGGTGAAAAGACAATATATGTAAGGCTCTTGGAATATGTTTAATGGTTATTAAATATAATAATCATCACTTCTGTTAATATTGGTGGTCCTCAGAGTACATTGTAGTTGGTAAGTACCGTATTTTTCGGACCATAAGACGCTCCGGACCATAAGACGCACCAGTTTTTAGAGAAGGGAAATGAAGAAAAAAGATTCTGAAACAAATAGTGTCCTAAAATATTTTATGTGCATTAAAACCCAACATCACAGTCATAAACACATGTAATCAACCCTGTAAAGTAAACAGCAGCATTTAGAACCATTTTAGAGCCAGGCAAGCACACAGAGACCACACAGAGCCGGGCAAGTAAAAAAACTTTTTTTTTAAAGTATATGTGTAGGCTATATTTGAACCATAAGACGCAGGGACTTTCTCCCCCCACTTCTGGGGGGAAAAAAGTGCGTCTTATGGTCCGAAAAATACGGTAATTAACAACTCCCAAACTAAGTTGGGAAACTGAGATTCGAAAGTGACTTCCTTGACTCTATACCATCACTTGAGTTTAGTTTTGTCCCTGTTATCTTTTAGCTATGTAGGTCACTTTCCACGGTGAATCTATGTGTTCAGAGTAGTGGTTCTCAGTTAGGGACAGTTTTGCTGCTTCCAGAGGACATTAGTCAGTGTCTGGAAACATTTCTGGTGTGTTATAGTTTGGGAGTGCTACTGGCATCTGGTGAGTGAAGGCCAGTGATGCTGCTTAACATCCTACAATGCTCGGGATGGTCCCTCTCCACAAAGAATTGTCTTTGTTGTGAGTAGGGCCAAGGTTGAGAAACTCTGGTATCTTACCAGATCCTACTTAGTTACCACAGGGTTCGAGGTCAGCTTTCCTACAAAGAGGGAGCATAGCATTGTGAAGTGTATGAAATACCCTCTGACAACACATTTTAGGTGGGATAACTTAAAGCTTTAAATCCTGATTCTTGATTACACTCAGATTTGTTGACATGTCAGTCCTACTTTGTCAGCCAACATCAGACATTTTGAAAAAAGCATATTTTTTTTTAGTCTGTGGTTTAGAAAGCAGGTGAGCCCTCCCTTAGTCACCCAGTTTTGAACTTTCTTTTCCCTTGCTTTGGGCTGCCTTTGTGGTTTTTTTGAAGAACATGTTTGTTTTCGCCCCAGTGAAGCTGATGGCCAGTTACTTTCTTTTCTCAGTGTCCTCCATGGCCCTAATCGGAACTGAGTCATGTTCTTACAACTTTTTCCTCTCCCCCTTCCAAGTCTTGGCTCTGCCCTCACGTCCAGCCTCACGGACGTTTGCTTGTTCTCATACACGCTCAGCCTGCAGAAACTATTAGGTGTTTTCAGGGTCACCAGGAGGAAAGCCGATTCCTGCATGCCAGGAAGGCCGTGACTAGAGGAGAGTCTTCTCCTGCAGGCCTCAGGATACAGCTCATTGTGGATGTTGGGCACTAGCCAGCAACTCTTATAAATACTGTGGCCACTTTACATGGCTTTGGGTACAAAATTCCAACTGCCTTTGGAATTCCTGGCCATCCCTATGCCCTAGAGGGCCTCTTTCCTGTCGTAAATTGTTAGGAATAACGCTGGAGAAACCATCGGGACCCAGGTGGGTTTATTTCTTACCCTGCAACCCAGTTGTGGGCACTGCCAGGACCACCTATCCGTCTGAGCAGCCACTGAGTGACGGCGCTGTGACCTGTCGTCAGTGGCATACAACAGGCAGGCTGATGTCTGGCTGTGGGCACCTCCCTTTTGGACCATCCTTTGTATTTCCACTAGGTGGAGCAAAGTCTGGCCAAAAAAAACTGCTTGCAATGTGGAAACCACAAACAAAGACATACAAATAAATAGAGAACATTGCAATCTGGGAAATAAGGAGAGGGAAGGAAACATATCTCATCCTATTGAATTCTACGGCTTGTTGATACAATCCTGGGCTTTCCCAGGGTGGGAATTAAAGTAGGTCATTCTCCCAGACTTGTAGATCGCCAGTCTTGCATGGGATGCTCTTACTTACTCAGCTACATTCCCATGGCCTGGATTTATTTACTTTTGGTTTCCTTCCTTCCCTACTTTCTTCTGTGGGAAAGCGGGTGAGCTATGTACGTATCTTCTGTTTCTAGTGCCATCATCTCCCTCAGAGGGCCATAACTAAGGTTTGATTCATGATTTTAGGTGTTTTAAAGAATTTAATTTAAACTTGTTTTGAAAGAGGTAAAAGTGAGCGAAAGACGATGCAAGGATATTTGTGGCTGGGAAGGGTGTGGGACCTAGAGTCAAGTTATAAAAACATGTCTGTTTTTGTTTTTAAGTGTCAAGCAAGACAGATCTTATGTCATAACACTGTTTCATTAAACATTCTTGCAGATCAGAGGCATCTGTTCATGGCGAAAGTATTCATGTTTTTCATAATTCTACATGCTTTTTTTGTTCACCCTTTCCTAAATTATGTTCCTCACCTGAAATCGGCAGTTTCACTCCATTTGTATTAAAAACCAATTTAGCATAGAAACAACAACAAAAAACTCCACAGCTTCATTTATTGCCCGGCCGTTGTGGCTCAGTGGGAGGGCATCGACCTATGAACCAAGAAGTCACAGTTTGATTCTCAGTTAGGGCACATGCCCGGGTTGTGGGCTCCATCTCCAGTGTGGGGCGTGCAGGAGGCAGCTGATTAATGAATCTCTGTCATCATTGATGCTTCTTTCTCTCCTCCCTTCCTCTCTGAAATCAATAAACATATATTTAAAAATAAAATAAAACAAAAATAGAACTCCATAGCTTCATTTATTGGTCAGAACTTATTATTTTGCCTTTAGTGGCTTTTTTTGGGTGAGAAAGTTAATATTTGGCTTTTTACACTGGGATGTTGGAGCATTGTAGCTTTTTAGTAGTTGAATAGTGTTTGAGTTCAATAGTGTGAGAAGTTCATCATCCTGTGTAGTTTTTTCTTATTTCTTTAAATATATATATATATGTATATGTATATTCAGCTTTCTGACTGGGAATTGAACCATGACCTCCTGGTTCATAGGTCGATGCTCAACCACTGAGCCACACCAGCCGGGCTCACATCAGTTTTTAATTACACAAAAGTAACACATGATCCTAACAATGTTAAATTATCTAGAAATACAACAGTGCTTAGAGTAAAAGGTGAAAGTCTGTGGTTTGGTGTGTATTCTTGGTGGTTTTTGTGCTTATGCTGTCAATTTATAAATATACAGGGTGGACAAAGGTAGGTTTACAGTTGTGAGTACACGAAACACAGTATATTTTGTGTTATTATTTATTATTATTATTGTATTATTTGTATTATAACTGTAAACCTACTTTTGCCCAAACCCTTTAGTAGTAAATTCACATATATACATTTATTTACATATACACACATGTGTATATGTGTATGTATATATATATTTTTTTTCTATAAATAAATGTAAAGTTGGTGGTATGTGTAGGGTTCTTTATTGTTTTTCATTATTTATTTATTTATTTATTTATTTAAAAATATATATTTTATTGATTTTGTACAAAGAGGAAGGGAGAGAGATAGAGAGTTAGAAACATCAATGAGAGAGAGTCATCGATCAGCTGCCTCTTGCACACCCCCCACTGGGGATATGCCCGCAACCAAGGTACATGTCCTTGACCGGAATTGAACCCGGGACCCTTCAGTCCCCAAGCCGACGCTCTATCCATTGAGCCAAACCGGTTTCGGCTGTCTTTCATTTTTTAAAACAAAAATGGGGTAATTTATAACATGAACTTTTAAAAACCTGAATATATTGTGTTATATCTCTGATTTAAAAAAAAATTAAACATTTTAAAACTTATATCCACTTTTTTTTTGTTTCTTTTAAATCCTCACCTAAAGGTATTTTTCCCATTGATTTTTTTTTTTTTTTTTTTTTTTTTCTTATAGAGAGAATGAAGGGTAGGGGGAGAGAGAGGCAGAGGCGGGGAGAGAGAGATGAGAAGAGAGGAGAAAAGAGAAGAGAAACATCTATGTGAGAGGGACATATTGATTGGGATCAAGCCTAGGGAATTGAACCCATGACCCTTTGGTCTGCTGAGCCAAACCGGCCAGTGCATCGCTAATGTTTTTTAAATGCCTGTATGTTATTGTATTAGACCTTTATTTATTTAATCACTCCTTTATAGATACATGCATTGTGTCCAAGTTTTTGCGAGGTAAACATTGTTGTACTTAATTTCTTTCTGTAGTTGTGCTAGATTCCTATAAGTGGCATTGGGGATGGTGAAGTTATGGGATAGGAAATTTGGGTTCAGTAGTGCCAAGTTGCTCTCCACAGTGGTTCTTTCAGTTTACCTTCCCTTTATTAGGGTATGCAAGAGCTCATTTCCCCAAAGTGTAAGCAACATTTTTTTTACCTGTGTCCTGTGAATATCCTTGAAGAGGTTCCTTCTGATTGTCAACATGAGCACTAGGGGAACATTTCACTTTACTTGTTCAAAAGTTCAGTCCTTTCCCCATCTGCAAGCCCATTGTTCCATTTGCTGAGGAGGAGGATTCACCTAAGGACTGGGAGCCTGTGGCTGGAGAAGTAGAAATGCCTGCTGGGCGCTGAAGGAAGTGGCTTGTAGTCCCCTGGAAAGTGTCAGGCAGGTGCCCTGGAGCAAAATGTCGCCCAGTTGCTATGTAACGCACACGTCTAATTGCATGCCCGCCCAACCAACCACCTATTTGTGATGATCATCCCAGGATAAGGGACCCTTGGATGTAACATTGCTGAGAGTACAGACTCTGTCTGGAGCCACACTACCTCCCTATAATCTTGGACTAGTTCGTTAACTCAGTTTTCTCATCTGTATAATGGGATGATAACACCTAGCTTATAGGGTTATGGTGAGGATACATTGAATTAATACTTACAAAGTACTTAGAAATTAGTAAATGCTAATCTCCCTTATTATTGCTATGTTTGGGGAACCTTTTTAAAAAATATATACTTTATTGATTTTTTTACAGAGAGGAAAGGAGAGGGATAGAGAGTTAGAAACATCGATGAGAGAGAATCGATTAGCTGCCTCCTACAACCCCCCCCCGCTAGGGATGTGCCCGCAACCCAGGTACATGCCCTTGACCGGAATCGAACCCAGGACCCTTCAGTCCGCAGGCTGACGCTCTATCCACTGAGCCAAACCGGTTTCGGCATGTTTGGGGAACCTTTAAGGCTTCCCTATTTCTTGACTGACCCAAGACCCGTTTCCAGTGGAGGAATTTAGGAATATATTTTGGTTAACCCCTAGTCCAAAAGACATGCGCGTTACTTTCCATAGCATCCGATGAAAGGTGTTTTTCCAGCTATTGTTTTCTAATAATAAAGAACGAAACTGTAGAGCAGGTAAGTTAGAATATGTACTATTATTCTGATCTGTACATCATTGTTGTTCTCTTGAGTAGAGAAGAGAGTGGAGGGTTACCACCAGCAAGAAAGTGTGATGTCTCAAGAGTGGGAGTTTGGTTCATCGTCCGTTCTGACCACAGTGCTAGACCACACGCAGAACTCGGTGTACTGTTCTGAGGTGAGGCGCTCTCTGGGGCTGCTTGACATCTGACCCAACCTCCATTTGGTACATCCTGTCATCCTGTTCTGAGGTAAAAATGGTTTTTGAGGCTGTTTTTTTTGTTGTTGTTGTTAAGCTTTTTGAGATATAATTTAGATACCATAAAAACCATCCTTTTAGATTGTACAATTCAGTGGTTTTAGTAAATGGAATCATACACCATGTGGTATTTTGTGACTGGCTGATTTCACTTAGCATAATATTTTTGCAAGGTGCATCCATGCTGTAGCATGTGTCAGTATTTCATTTCTTTTTATGGCTGATTACTATTCCATTGTATGGGTGTAACACACTTTATTTATCTCCTCATCAGTTGACTGACTGTCGCATCCTGCACTCCCTCTACTGGGAATCGAGCTTGCAACTGGGACATGTGTCCTGACGGGAATCGAACCGGCCACCTCTTAGTACATGGGACATTGCTCAGCCCACTGAGCGACACCAGCCAGAGCTATGTTTATTCTTTTGTTTGTTTGTTTAATATATTTTCATTGATTTCAGAAAGGAAAGGAGAGAGAGAGAGAGAGATAGAACCATCAGTGATGAGAGAGAATCATTGATTGGCTGCCTCCTGCACACCCCCTACTTGGGATCAAGCTGCAACCTGGAATATGCCCTAGACCGAATCGAACCCTGGACCCTTCAGTCCACAGGCCCACACTCTATCCATTGAGCCAAAACAGCTAGGGCGATCTATGTTTAACTTTTGAGGAACTGCCAGATTATTTTCCATAGCAGCTGTACCATTTTATATCTCCACTAGCAAAGTATGAAGATTTCAATTTCTCTACATCCTTTTTATTTGTCTGTCTTTTATATCGTAACCAACCTAGTGTATGTGAGGTAGTACCTCACTCTGGTTTTGATTTGCATTTTCAATAACTATTGATTGAACAGCTTTTCATATTTTTATTGGCCATTTGTATATATTCTTTGGGAAAAAATCTATTTGATTTTTGGCCTGTTTTAAAGTTCTTTATCTGAAGGGAAAGGTGTCAGCCCAGGGGGAGATTTTCCTTTCAACTAGATTTAAGGCTCTGGCCATGTTACCACCTGTTCTCTGGAGTCTAGGCCAGCTGCTTTACCTTTCTGAGCTTTCATTACTTCTATCTTACTGTCCAAAGACTGTCTGAGGCAGCCATTATCTGCAGTAAGAGGCCCATGTGGTTAAAGAAGTTGCTGTCTCTTTTGGAGATTCACAATGACCCTACTTTACAGTGAAGCCACTGGAGAATCCTACAGTTAAGCCTAATGAGACCTTTGTCAGATAAATGATTTGCAAATATTTCCTCCTTTTCATTTTTATTTTATTTTATTTTTTTCACTTTCTTGATGGTATCCTTTGAAGCATAACATTTTGATGATGTTCAGCTAACCTATTTTTTTCTTTTATCACTTGAGCTTTTCGTGCTCCACAACCTGGGCATGTGCCCTGACCGTAAATCAAACTGTGACCTCCTGGTTATAGGTTGATGCTCAACCACTGGGCCACACCAGCTGGGCTCCTTAGTTCTTTTAATAAAAATAAAGAGAACCCATGTACCCATCACCAACTTCAGCAATTTTGTCATGAACAGTCTTGTTTTATCTATTTCCCCTCTCATTTTAATTCATCCCAGTAAAATTATTTTGAAGCAAATCGTAGATTTCACATTATTTCAACCATAAATAGTTCCATTTGAATGTTTAAGAAATAAAAGCGTTCTGCTCCTCAAAATAAACACCATCACATCCCATACCCTAAACATGGACAGTAATTTTTTACTGTTATAAGATAGGATCTTGCATGAAACCATTTAAATTAGATTCTGGGGTAAAAATTCAACTAATTATGACAGCTCTTCAGTTTTCATAAGTAATTAACCCTCACTAAGTATTCCGCTACTTAAAAAACGTTACTCCCCATCTCTGGCTGGTGGCTCAGTTGGTTGGAATATCATCCTGTACATGGAAAGGTTACGAGTTCAATTTCCAGTCAGAGCATTTACCTAGGTTGTGAGTTTGATCCCTGGTTGGGGCTTATACTGGAGGCTACCAATTGATGTTTCTCTCATCTCCCCTTCTCTCTCCTTCCCTCCCTCCCTCCCTCCTCTCCCCACTAAAAATCAGTGGATGCACTTTGGCTGGTATGGCTTAGTTGATTGAAGCTGTTGTCCTGTATATAATAAGGTTGTTATTCTGCAGAAATCGGTTTGGCTTAGTGGAAAGAGCATCAGTCTGTGGACTGAAAGGTGCCAGGTTCGATTCCGGTCAAGGGCATGTACCTTGGTTGCGGGCACATCCCCAGCGTGGAGTGTGCAAGAGGTAGCTGATCAATGTTTCTTTCTCATCGATGTTTCTAACTTTCTTATCTCTCTGCTTTCCTCTCTGTAAAAAATCAATAAAGTATATTTATTTAAATAAAAAAAAAAGGTGGTGATTGATTCCTGGTTAGGACATATGCCTGGGTTGGAGGCTCGATCCCTGGTAAGGGGACATGCTGGAGGCAGCTAATTGATATTCTACTCTCATGTCAGTGTTTCTCTTTCTCTTCTTTTCTCTCTAAAAATCAACAAAAAAATATTTTAAAAAATCAATGGCAGTTTACCCTCAGGTGAGGATTAAAAACAAACAAAAAACCCCACACAATACCCTTCAAAAGTGCTTCTCCAACCACAGCTTTCTCTTGTTTTACTTGAACTGGTCTAGTGGTGGAGTTAATCCTGGCAAACCTTTTTTACACCGCTTTGTCATTTTGTTTGGCACACGTTCATTTCTAACTTCTGCCCAGTACTTAAAAGTGAAAGATTAGCTTATGACTTTTGCCCTCAATTTCTAGTGTAGGGAGACTTTTTGGAAAAAAAACAAACCCTCCCCTTATCTGAGATTGCACAAATGTTCAGAGAAATTTGGGAAAATAAGGAGACCCCATGAGTGCATTTTCTTTCTTTCTTTTTTTTCTCTTTTTTTTTAAATATATTTTATTGATATTTTACGGAGAGGAAGGGAGAGAGATAGAGAGCTAGAAACGTCGATGAGAGAGAAACATCGACCAGCTGCCTCCTGCACACCCCCTATCGGGATGTGTCCGCAACCAAGGTGCATCCCCTTGACCGGAATCGAACCCGGGACCTTTCAGTCCGCAGACCGACGCTCTACCACTGAGCCAAACTGGTTTCGGCTTTCTTTTTTCTTTCTCTTGTTAATCTTCACTTGAGGATATTTTTTCCATTGATTTTTAGAGAGAGTGGAAGGGAGGAGGAAAAGTACAGAGAGAGAAAAATCTCATTGATTGGTTGTTTCCCATGTCCCTACCCAGCTGGGAATAGAGCCTGCAACCAAGGTACCCTTGATTGGAATTGAACCCACGTCTCTTCGGGCCAAGGGCCAATGCTCTAATCGGTTAGGGCCCCATGAGTGTATTTTCTCCTTTTTAAGCTGTCCAAGGGTGCAAGCTCTGTGGTCCCCTTTCCCCCACTGCCCAATCCCTGCCTGGCTAACTGCCCACCCTCAAGATAGAGTATTAGGGGTTTCACAGCAGATGCGCAAGGCTGCTGAAGGAGAAATGGGACATAGAATATGGAGGCTGAAAGACTGTAGAGATAACGGTGCTATGAAAAGAAGTTTAGTAAGAGAGAGAGTCTGTGCTATTCAAAATGTAGCAGATTTAGAGCTGAACAGGCTTAACTGTGGGACTCTTCAGAGGCTTAACTGTAGAGCACGTGCATAGTAAATCTCCAAAAGTGACCTTAGACTTCTTTGACCACAGGGGCCTCTTATCGGCAGAATTGGCTGCCGGGGGTGGGGGTTGGGGCTTGAGGGTGAGAGATGGTGTCTCTGGATAATGCTAACAGAAGTAATATAGGCTCAGAACAGTAAAGTAATTGGCCCAGGGTCGTGAGAATAGGTTGTCGTATGGCTGATGGGTCTAGAATGCCAGGGCCCTGACAGAGTCTAGTTGAAAGATAAATCTCCTCCTGAGGGTACTCACTGGGGCTCCCTGGGAAGACCTCTGTCCCCTAGATCTTACTTCTGGGACATTCACACTTTCATACCTTCAGTAGACTCCTCTGAGAAGTGGGGATTGTAATAACTGTCTAGCCCTGTCACCAGCTGATGTAAGGAACAACTAAAATGGATATGAAAATAGTTTATAAACCTTGAGTTCTCTGCAAGAAAGATAATTTATTGTGTTTCTCATTGGTTAGTGCCACCTTTTCTGCCATTTCCCTCTTCTTACAACTTATGGGAGTGATAAACTGTGAATGTTTTCAACCATGAAATCTTAAGAACTGGCGTAGATTTGGTTACCGCATAGCCTAAGGAGAGAGGAGGTAATATTTGATTTACATAAGATCCAGGAAACGAGGGAAGGCATGGTGCTGGTGCTGGGAGCTGTGTTTCCAACTAGATCTTCCTAAGTTTCACAATCCTTTCTGCAGAAAAGGCAACTTCTGGGTGTTGCTTATGGAGTTATCTGGTGAATGGGACACAAAACCAGGAGCAGCTTTGTCCCACTCACGTAATTAAAAAAAAAAAAAAAAATGTTGGGGGTGTAGATCAAGTCTCTTGAAGACGGGACTTTTGCTTTTGAGATGGCCTGAGTACTTTAAATCCCTCAGCTGCGAAATTAGAGACGTACAGATAATGAGATCCATAGAGGGTTTCCCAGTAGTAGCATCAAACCTTGGAGTAATATCCAGGTGCTTTCTTTATCTCTTAGCTGTTTATCAGGTTTCTATGACCAGGAAAATGTTATCCACATTAATTGAGGATTTAGCTATATGAGCTTTAAAAAAAAAATTATTGTATTGATTTTTTACAGGGAGGAAGGGAGAGAGAGAGAGTTAGAAACATCGATGAGAGAGAAACATCAAACAGCTGTCTCCTGCACACCTCCTACCGGGGACGTGCCCGTAACCAAGGTACATGCCCTTGACCGGAATCGAACCTGGGACCTTTCAGTCAGTCCTCAGGCC